TCCAGTCGCCCCTTCGCTCCACCACCCGGACGGAAGCCAGCTGTTGCTGATTATCGTTTGACGAACTGACGGAGTCGGGTACCCCGTTGTCGTCTAGCCGGGTAGTGCATAGTACATGCCCTGAAATAGTGTCGGCTGGGTAACCCCCGACCAAATGCCAATTCATGAGCCGTGCATACACCCTATATACGATGGACGGACAGAATACAGACGAGCCGGCAAAGCTTTCCAGTGCATTGCTTGGCACAATGTCGTTGTCGTGCCCGCTCTGAAGGGGAGATACATAAGCCGCCGGCTCGATTGGCTTGTTCAGTCTGGATGACGTCAAGTGTCACCTTTGTTGAGTATTTGGATTCTCTTATAGCTATATGGCCGACCCTATAAAGTATATTCACAAATATATGTATGCTTGATGAGCATCAATAGCCCATCATAGTCATGTTCGTCTATCCGTCCGTTCTTCTGTCAGTCTTGTTTAACGCTGAGCTAGTTCGTAGAGACTACTAGATCAACTGCAACCGGATTATAGACAGAATGGAGAAGCTGCCTCGCGAACTATCTCTCTCTCTCTCACACACACACAGAGTAGCTTAGGTTTATTTACCTAACTCTCGTTACTTCTCTTTCTCGATCTTCACCTCCAGCTCTATTTAATTGAGACCTGTAGAAGCTCTCTTCCCTTTCTACAATCTCAGTTTAGACTGGCGTATTTTGGCTCATACTTCCGGCCGGCTTAATTCTCATTATATTGTATCAGTCATTACCTACCCTAATGTGAAATAGATTTCCTTTCTGTCCTGTTGCCCAACTTTACATAACAGTAACCATTGCCGTTTATAACCTAATTTACACATGCAACCCTGTCCATTTGTTTCCTTTAAAGCGGCCGGGAGGCACGCAACCGGGCCGAAAAGAACCGACGCGACAAACTAAATGGCTCAATCCAAGAGCTCTCCACGATGGTGCCCCATGTGGCTGAGTCGCCGAGACGCGTGGACAAGACGGCCGTGCTCCGTTTTGCTGCCCACGGACTTCGGCTGAAGCACGGTAAGTGGATCCCAACAAAGATCAATGATAGAGCCAGCGATGACGGTACTAATGGGGACTTCCTACAGCCTTCGGCAAGACATTGCAGCACCAGCGCCCACAGATCACAGACACCCTGATGGGCATGCTGGACAGCTTCTTCCTTACCGTAACCTGCCACGGCCACATCTTGCTGATTTCATCGAGCATCGAGCAGCACCTTGGCCATTGTCAGACGGACCTGTACGGCCAGAGCATCATGCAGATTACCCATCCTGAGGACCAGAACATGCTCAAACAGCAGTTGATCCCCACAGAGCTGGAGAATCTCTTCGATGTTCACGCCGCAGACTCAGAAGCGGATGGAGAGCCGCGACTGCGCAGTAAGTCCGAGGAGGACTACATCGATCGAAAACTGCGCGAGGACAGGCGCAGCTTTCGCGTGCGGTATGTGTCACTGGGATTTCTGATCCAAAGGCTTCCTTAAACAGCAGCTTGAACTTCTCTTAATTTCTCTAGATTGGCTCGTGCAGGGCCCCGTTCGGAACCAACAGCCTATGAGGTGGTGAAGATCGATGGTTGCTTCCGCCGGAGTGACGATGCGCCTCGTGGCGTCCGCTCCAGCACCTTCAGCTCGAGCCTGCAGCTGATTCGGAGGACGCGAGGTCGCGATGATGTCATTCCTCTGCACACGATCAGCGGCAACGATATTGTATGCTTGACTATCTCTCCGGGAATCCACGATCACTGATACCGCTCTTTCTCTTCTTTAGGTTCTGACTGGCTGTGCTAGGATCATCCGTCCGCCGAAGATCGCCAGCCGGCTGATCGATGCGAACTCGCTGGAGTATCGCACTCGCCACCTGATTGATGGACGAATCATCGACTGCGATCAGCGAATCGGCATTGTAGCGGGCTATATGACAGACGAGGTGCGCAACCTGAGTCCCTTCACCTTCATGCACAATGACGACGTACGCTGGGTGATCGTGGCCCTAAGACAGAGTAAGAATCTCTCTCGTTGATCTCTCAAGTGATCTCTTTAGAAATTCCATTTAATCGTAACCCATATAATCTGTTTCAGTGTACGACTGTAACAGCTCGTATGGTGAGTCCACGTACCGTCTGTTCACCCGGAATGGAAACATCATTTACCTGCAGTCCAAGGGTTACCTGGAGATCGACAAGGAGACCAACAAGGTTCATTCGTTCGTATGCGTCAACACATTGCTGGACGATGAGGAAGGCAAGCGGCGCGTCCAAGAGATGAAGAAGAAATTTTCGGTGATAATCAACACGCAGATTCCCCAGTCAACCATTGATGTGCCCGCCTCTGAGCATCCTGCGCTGCTGGAGAAGGCCGTCATGCGACTCATCCAAAATCTGCAGAAGTCCAACGAGGACCCGTCTCAGCTGGATGGTGATGAGGATGATGAGGATGAGGAGGACGACGACGACGACGATGACGAGGATGATGGCGGTCGCAGCATGTCCGAGTTCGGAGAATCCTATCAACATCACCATCATTCGCGTCCGCATCACAGCTCCTTCCTGGGCCACTCATCAGTTTTGTCGGAATCCCGCCATGGTCAGGGCAGCTCCAAGACCCCGCCTTTGGCTCTAGTTCCCCCCGAAGCTTCCTCCGTAAAGTCCTCAATTTCAAAGAGCATCAGCGTGGTCAATGTGACGGTAGCTAAGCATCTGCGGAGCATTCAAAGCTCGGCACTAAAGTCACCAAGCTCCCTACCTGAATGCACCTGCCATGGAGGCGGCGACGCCCGCTCCCAATGCGACCTGTGCCAGGTACCACTGACACCCGACCCAAATCCAGTGGGACCTTCCCTAAAGAGGAGCAGCTCAGCCTTGGAGGAACCGAAGGATGTTAAGGTAGCAAAGCGCTGCTTTATGCCCAGCACAGGTGAGCTTCTATCCAGGTTATTCCTGGATGGATCCCTAAGTAAATCTACTGACACCTGACACGTCTGTTCTTCCTTGCAGAGATCGAGCATGTGCTGAACACCTCCCTGGACCATATTGGACGAAAGCTATCTCATCAGCTGAATGTAGCCAGGAATCTACGGGACCAGGGCAATCGATACGAGCTGCCTCATGCCAATCAGCGTTTCGATGAGATTATGGTAAGTGATCTCACACTCTACGGATCACCTTTGATGACAGCCTGGTATATAATTCGAATTATTTTGAACCTGCAGCAGGAGCATCAGAAGCAAAGTGAACTGTTTGTGAACATCAAGAGCGAGTACGAGGTGCAGCTACAGAACAAGGCCAACAATGCCACTGCAACTAAGAATTCGGATTCCGAGCCACGTAGACCGGATCAGGATCTGGATCCAGGTCAGGATCAAGCCAGGCCGTCCTAAACAGACAGGGTGGCAGAGGATAAAGACAAAGACAGACAAGAGAGAAAAGAATCGGCTCTCAACTGAAGAAGGGTTTCATCAATGATGTGATAACACTGTCTTGGCAGCAAGCTCAACAAAATGATGGAACACATAGTTTTATTCTAGTTTGAATCTAGTTGGATCCGATCTGCTGCTGCTTTTCAGAAAGCAGCAACCACTACTACTGAACCCATGAGTGAGCATGAGACAACGTACATACAATACTTTTTAAATGCCTGCCGGCCACACAAGCCCTCCTTCCCAGGCCACTCACACGCAGCCCACACAGGCAGACAGGCATACATACATACTTGTTTGTTCGTTGTTTTAACCGTTATGTACCAGGTAGAGTTAGTCACATATGTATGCATACAGAACGCATAAATGTGTAGAGCTAGTGGTCGTTAACTTCAATTTAGAGTCGTCGCACTCCGAAGAGTGTTGGGAAGTGGATGTGAAGGATAAACAATTATTAGTCTAAATCGGAATACAATTAAACTATACTATATACCTATGTACCATACATTATGCATGTTGCAGCATGTGCATAACCAAAACTAAACGTGATAAAAGACTGTTACCAACTACATACATACATATGTACATAGATACAAACATACTTGCATAATTATACAAAACTAAAATGTAAACAAATTTCGGTTAAACTATACTATGTATGTACATATGTACTTCCACACACATGTGTGCGTATATGACGTAGTTAAACTAAATATACTACTGTACGAACATTTTTTATAGATGTTTAATGTTGCTAGACTATAAGAGAATCCGGAATCGGATTCCGATCCCGATTCCCCCTCCCCACAGAATCAATATGTAAGTTAGAGAATGATTTTGGCAAGAACAACCATTGAAAGTGACCCAAGTACAATTTACAAAAAGTACGTGCATACATACATCCATATGTAAGTATATGTACATGTATGTGTACATACATCATTCATGAATATGTATATTGTACGATGTAAACCAAGTACACAAAACGAAGAAAAAAATAGATGGCGAAAAATATTTAGAGAACTATGTTAAATGTTTGTTATGCATTTGTTTTTTTTTTATCTAAATTAATATTAAAATAATGTATTAGAGAATAAACTTGTGTACCTACATATATACAAAACAATGAAATTACATGCACTGCATTAAGGAGAATCAAAGTGGGAAAATCATTTGAATTTAAATTTAAACAGCAACGGTAAAAGCTGCGCGCGTCTTTTTCAGAACAGGGCGGCAAAGCAATAGTGCTGCAAAATACTAGGCAGAATACTTACATACCGTATTTAACGGAAATGCGTTGGCAAAAACCTATGAAATTCTCTGCATGATATGGCTTTAAAGGACCAGATAAAAAACCAATTCAATTCAGTAAATACCACCAAGATATGTCAGTAGGACAGCAAGGCAAGTATTTTTCTTCAAAGCAACTCTGCTTTAACAGTGTGGACAATTGCGGAAATTGTATTTGTCTGTCGTTGTATTTGTGATAATCACGCCCAGTGTTGTATTTTTGAGTTCAAACTACATTTGCGCGTCGTCTCATAACTTAAATCGTCTTAAAAACAATTTACATCTTTTTCCGTCGTAAAAGCATCAAGATGGAATCGCCGCGAGGCAATCTGCGTAATGTGCATGTGGAGAATATACAGAACTTGAGCACACCGATTCGCATACCGCCATCACCAATGCTGAAGACCCTGGGCTATGGCACCGGCGTAAACGTTTATCGCCTGGATCGCTCGCCCCGTCTTGGGCATCCCCGTTCCCCGTGGGCAATCAAGCGTATAACCCAGCGTACGCTGGACAAAAAGGATACTAGTTTCAACGACCGCATTATCCATGAGGCGAAGATCTTGCGGTGGGTAATGCGGCATGGCGTAATTTTTTGTGTGTGTGTGTGTGTGTTGAGCCTGCATTTTCGTGTGTCAGCCGCTTCCATGTACATATGTATGTACATATATTGCATGTATTCTTGGAATCTGTGACCACAGACAATCCGTCGCGAAGGATAACTGTGGATTAGATGCACAATAATAAACGGCGAATATTCACCAATAACACCACTTTCATATTAAATTCCCTTCAATTACTTTTCTAGAAAACTAAGCCATCCCAACATTGTTGGTTTCCGCGGCGAGATGCAGACGGCCGCTGGCGTGAACAGCCTGGCCTTGGAGATGTGCAATACCTCACTGGGCTCGATACTGGAAGAGCGCTTCGAAGAGGAGCTGGGACCGCTGGACGCTAATCACATCTTCAAAATGATTATGGACGTTGCCAAGGCGCTGAACTATCTGCACACCGAAGCCAAGTTGCTCCACGGCGACCTCAAGTCTTTTAATGTGCTCGTGAAAGGCGAGTTTGAGATCTGCAAACTCTGCGACTTTGGAGTTTCTCTGCCTCTAGACGAAAAAAATGAGGTGAAAATAAGTGGGGAATATGGTCTTCGCTACGTGGGTAAGTCATATCAGTCGAAAAAAAAAACTCTGATGCGAAAAAAGGCTGTCTTAACAGGTACCACTCTGTGGTCCGCACCAGAGGTTATTGACCAAATGGATACAATTGACAGCAAGGCTGACATCTTCAGCTTTGGCCTTGTAATCTACGAAACATTGGCCCTCGTGCCGCCGCACACTCTCATGCTGAATGATACCGTCGATGGCGACGAGGGCGACGAGGGCTGCGATGAAAGCGGTGTTGGCTGCCTTAAGGACGACTCCATCGTCGAGTTAAACAGCTTTCTAGAGCCGGCCGACGACAAGGAGAACGATCCTGTTCTGAATAGCCTGGAGTCGGCATATGGAACACGACCACCCCTACCCGAGGCCTTCGAGCTCAGCGACGACTACAACACCATCGTCGAGCTATTCTACCTGTGCACGAATGATTTGGGCGAGGATCGCCCTACGGCCCGCACCATCTTGGAGTGCCTCCCGAATAATGCGCCCAATATAGACAAGTCCAGCGATTAAACATGCTGCTCCTCCCAAGCCTCATCCGCATCTAACTTTCAACCTTCTGGCATTTAATGTTACCCATGGTACATGGGATTAAATTGCATTTATCTAGAATCTAGATGTATCTCCTTGGAATTTACGTGTATCTGATTCCTTCACTAAAAAATAAATAAATCTTTAATCTAAAGCATTAAGATATATTAAGATGGACAAGAATAGTTTGGCGACCTTGGATCGGATAGTTGATTATAATTTTAATTTAAATATTGTACACCAATTGGAGCATTTACCGTATATGTGAGTGAGCTTAGTTGGAGCCACAGATGCGCTTCTAACCAGCGGCATCATCCTACTATTCGCCTAACTTAACAACATAACAGAATAAAATAAATTAGCAATTTAGTGGAATCTGATAGCTCACATCCTTATTTTTGAGCTCATCGGAATAGTCTGAGTAAAATATATATCCGAAAAGAGCAAATAAAGATGCAATGACCTTTTTGATAGGAACTACATATGTACATATGCGAGTTGATTACAAAATTCTGAATTCTGGATACAATCCCAGATTCCATTAGTCATCAGATGTGACGAAAGGTTCCAATCCACACAATTTGAATAAAAATAACAATTTAGAATTAGATTTATTTTAGGTCACGGAGAATGACTTCTAAAATATCTATCAGCTACTAGAAACAATCCACTCATATATTATTCATTCAGAATCGTTTCACCATTAACTTCTCAAGTTAAGAGACTCGGTAACCCATCTAAATGAGGAAATATCCTTTAAGTTCGATTATACTTTCTTAGATTTATTAAAAAATAATAATACATACATCAAAATATAAGTTTTTGTTTCTCTACTTTTTTCTCTTTCTTTCAGTTGTTCAGATGGAATATACATATGTACTTTCATTTATAGGTGACTGGGAATCGGGGCTCAATGGGATGACCGAACTCGACCGGTTATGGTTCGGATTTGGTTTGGGTTTTTCAAGGGAAATGGGTATGGGTTGCGGGATATGGAAACGCATTTAGATACAGTTTCAGATTCGCTGCTGTCACTAGTCTAGATCGTTCTATCTATATGTGTGTGTATATAGTATATGTATAGTATATTATGCATAGAGTTTGATCGATCAGATATCTAAGGTATTGGTAGTAATGCCTGTCCGGTCTTTCTCATAAGTAATAATTATGGTGATTGTTAACTTCAAGTCGAGCAGATCTGAAACTCTGCTGATAAATGTCTTTTCTTCGATTTGACTAAAGCATATACAGTGTGTATATAGCTCAATTAGATCTAGATAGTTACGTGTATAACATACATAGATGCATTATCATTATTGTATATATTTTCTTGTAAATATATAAAAAGTATCGAATTGCTCTCTTGAAGGCGAAGGCGCTGTTGGTGTTTGTTTAACTTTATCGTCCCGATTTCTCTTCTCCTTGTATTACCCTAGATGATGAAATATTGGTTTCCTTTGTACAAAAAAAAGACAAACAACTTGAACGAGTATTGGACACATTGCGACAAAACACGAGTGTAAAATTACAAAAAAAAAAAATGGTAAAATAAAAATAATCTTTTAAGTAAAATAATATAACCACAAGAAATATGGGATACATGTTCAAATCAGACATATACATAAAAAAACCCTTTTACAAAAAATTCTTGCTAAAAATAGGTTCCACAAACACAAAACGCACCCAATATTAGAATATATCCACGTTTTATGTATGGCGTTTCGATCTTTTGAGTGAGTTTTGGTTTGTCGGAGTACATAAAATGGAATGTTTTGGATACCAGTTATTCGTGCATGTGTGTGCAAGTGTATAATTATTACATTATCAGAATTTTACAATCACCGTTGGGCATTTAGGTGTATTTAAAGTGAATTTCTCTCTCCGTCTCTCTCTTTTAGGCATTTGATGCTCCCTCCTGCTCTGTCTCAATCTCCATTGCCATCTCGTTCTAATCTAATACGACATCATCGGGGGGACTATGAATAATAACATGACGGAAAAATCCTACAAATTCAAATAAACATATAAATATAAATATGGAAAGGAAAAAAGATAAAAACGAGGGACTACTGCATTCAAAAACTTGCAAATGAACATGTGTATGTGCATGTGTGTTTGTGTTTGTGTGGAATGTATGGGAAAGTCGTGTGACTGCATATATAAACATTTTATATATGTGTATATGTTGTATGACTGCCAGGCCTGTCAGGATCTCTCATGTAACTTGACTTTAATTAACTGGAAACTTTAGAGATTTTCGATTAACGAGAGCTCATCGAATTCGGTGAAAGTTTTCTATCTTCCACTGATATACCCACAGGCCTGTACAGTTCTGATTCCATCAAATGTGTGGTTCGTTTGTGGGTTTAATTCGACATTCCAATGACGCTCTTCGCTTTCCGCTCGTTTGTCGCTGCCTGGCTCTGAGTACTTATGCTGCTGGAGGGATTACAAATGCAGGACCCCATCTTTCACATCGCTGGCCATTATCGTGGATGCATTGGAGGCTGCCTGCTGGTGATGCGAGGGCGGTGATGATGACTGCTGCGTCGTTTGCGGCTGATGATTATTGTGATTGCCGGTGGAGGAGGTGCCCGTGGGACTCTCGTCGAGCGTGACGCCAGTAAGGTCGACAATATCATCCTGATCATCATGCTCGATCTCATCGGAGGTGTTCGTGTGGTTTGTGTGATGGGATCCGCTCGAGAGCTGACTGTTACGCGAGAAGGAGCCGCGGTGCGTCGACGTGAGCGTACGCTGGTTGGCCGGCTTGACGGTTATGATCAGATTGGAGCTGTTGGCCACCATCATGTCGGTGACCTGGTCCAGAGTCTTGCCAGCCACTTCGATGCCGTTCACCTCGATGACCTCATCGTTAACGGCCAGTAGGCCCGTGCTCTCGGCTAGTCCGCCCGGCACCAGGCGCGATATGAAAATGCCCGGCTGCTTTTCCAGGCCGCTGGACGTCACCCGTACAGAAGTTCCGTCCCGTATGTAGAATCCCAGCGGTTTGTCGCTGCCGTGCTTCAGCAGGCGCACCCTCCGATGCGTCTCCGGCACAATGTCCACATCAATGATGGCCGACACCTGGCGAAAGTCGTGCGGCTTTGATATCGATGGCGCCTTGGTCTTAACCGGCGTGTGGCCGAGTAGTATACTGCCAATAAGGTTGCGCGGCTTCATCGTCCCAAAGCCGGAGTACTCATTCAGATCATCTAGGAGGCAAAACGAGTCGGATTTAGAGTAGATATCGTCTTGGAAGCAGGCAAAGAGGTTTGACTCTCACCTTTTCGTTGCACTATTACACGCAGGAGGGGTCGGGCCGTCTTGAGCGCTCGCCCGAAGTTGTCATCGTTGTTGATGGGCAGCAGATCATTGTCGCGCGGATCGATGTAGAGTATAAGAAACTGTATGTTCGCCAGCTTGTGCAGCTGCTCGATAAGTGCCGCAAACTTGTCGAAGCTCTGCTCCGTCTCGTTGCGCTTAAAGCTCCAGCGTCGGAATTCGGCATCGAACTAGAAATGGAAAGGCCATTAGAGGTATTCCAGCGCTATTTGCTATTTGCAATTTCAATGAAAATTTCACCCCGCAACAACTGTTGCACGGCCTGTTGCTCCAGGCACCACTACTTTTCCAACAGCTGCTGATCTTTGGAGGCAACAGCTCTGGCAACTCGTTTGCATTGCCATTCCTACGCATGAATCAGCAATGCCACCGCTGTCGCCGCTTGATCGACCTGACCCCGACCGACCGCATTAGTAGCCTCACTGGGAGCGGCACGGTGCGGAGACAGCATCGTAGTTTTCCCTAGGAGTAGTCACCTTTGATTTCACTTCGATTAGATTCGTTTCGGCGCCGATCGCCGCGGCCGAGGTTGTGTTTATTTTATTCTTCGACATTTTTTCCACACACAATTTCTCAGCAACGCACACACAACGGAGGGGGCACTGTTGGCTCTGTGTCTGTGTCGGTGTCGGTGGGCGAGGGCTCACACGGACAAACCGGACCGGAGCGAAGAGAGCCGAACGGAATGCGGGGCACAGAAATTAAAATGTTTCAATAAATTAGAATTAGAAATCTAAATTAAAACTAATTAAATAAAATAAATGGATGGAGATGGATGTAGTAGATCTCGCTCAGCGCTGGAGTGTTGGAGAATGCACAATGTCTGCGGAATGTGGCAGCGCTGGCATACGGCCACACTGAACCACCGCCCTTGCAACGCAAAGCAATTTATTTTCTCTGTAATTGTTTATTCATCAATGCAATTGTATTGTACTTTTCGAAAAATGTACTACATATTTTTAATTTAAATTTAATCAAATATAGCAGCAAAATAGTAATATCGAAATTAGTGTGAACTTCAAATGCAACTGTGATGCGTTCGTAGGCGTGCGCCAGAGCGAGACAACCCTAGTGTTTGTTCCTGAAAAAAGTGTAGAGAACTGCTTGTTTGCTTAGGCTGAGTTGACTTATGTACACTCTGCACAGAGAGCACTGCGAATAATAATACATATTTTGGTTTAATTAAAAAAAAGCAAGTATCTGCAGCGAAAGCATTCAACTGAATTGGACCAGGTTTTGTATATTTAGAATTGATTTACCACCAAACGCGGCTTTTCAAGAAGTTCCTGTGAAGAACGTTTCAGCGAGCCAGCATGCTAGATGTGTAGCGCATGCCATACGACGAGGGTTTCTGTAAATGGAAGCTGTTTTCGTGTTGTTGTTGAACGTGAAGTGTGCAATTGGACAGAATTTGTTTAAATGTGACGAAAAAAGAAGGACAACAACAACAGCAACTGAGAAGGCGATCAAATCGATTTGAAATCCGTCGCAAAACAAAATTATAAAGATTAAAAAGTATTTGTGCTGCGATTAGGCATAAAAGTGAAAAGCGTGCAAAAACAGAAGAAGAAACCCAAACCAAACCCCCACTCGAAGCAAAAACAAAAACAGCAAAAGACAGTGAAACACAAGTAGTTTTCCACTCGAACGACGACGCCAATTGGCAGAAGTGAAAAAGCGTCTTCCCCGCGCGAAGAAAGATTGCAACACTTTTGGCGTCCCCAAGCTCCGGGCCCAGGACGGCAGTACTGTCGAGAAACCTTGAAAAACCTCTACACAACACACACACTCTTACACAGCATCCATTAGGCACAGGAAAAGCCATGAGTTCGGTAATGTATTCAATATTGGGCGGTCGAAAATCAAATCTAAAACAATTTAAAACAATTACCACTTTTAGCAGTATTCCAATGTGGAGAATCTGTCGCCGCAGACGATACGACAAGTGATGAGGGAGCTGCAAGAGATGGAGACCACACCGCCGGAGGGCATTAAAGTGCTGATAAACGAGAGCGATGTCACCGATATACAGGCCTTGATCGACGGACCAGCGGGCACCCCATACGCCGTTGGCATCTTCCGCGTCAAGCTGACACTGAGCAAAGACTTCCCTCAAACGCCGCCTAAGGCATATTTCCTCACTAAGATCTTTCACCCAAATGTGGCAGGCAACGGCGAGATTTGCGTCAACACACTAAAGAAGGACTGGAAGCCGGACTTGGGCATCAAGCACATACTGCTCACCATCAAATGCCTGCTGATTGTGCCCAATCCAGAGTCGGCTCTTAACGAGGAGGCTGGCAAGATGCTGCTCGAACGCTACGATGACTACTCGCAGCGGGCGCGCATGATGACGGAGATCCATGCCCAGGTAAGTGTTCCATTTTGATCGTATGGATCTCATGGATCTCAACCGAATTTGTCTGGGTTTAGCCCGCCAAGTGTGGTGTCGGGGCTGCCAGCGATGCCAAAGATGATGACGGACCCTCAACTAAGAAGCATGCGGGCCTGGACAAGAAGCTACAGGACAAGAAGAAGGAGAAGTTGCTCAAGGAGAAGAAGCGTATGCTGAAGAGGTTATGAGAGGCATAAGCGGAGTTCCAGCCACTACAGGAGCAGGAGAAACAGTAGCAGGAACACACGGGGAAAGCAGACGGAGGGAAGCAACGGATAAGGCTTTGGTGGCCAACACGGGAGGGACAAACGAATGACGGGATAAGCAATTATTTATTAGGGCGATGAGTAAAGGCGCGCTATGAAATTTTACACTGATCCGGTAACGAGGAGCAACCAAAAGCAGAGCTGATGCAATCAACCAGGGAAACCCCCGGATACCAGCCAGGTGGGAAAAAGAACAGAAATTAAGGAAAAGCTAAAACGATAGAAAGAACCGCAACCACAACTCCAAAGAAAAAACATCCAGTAACCACATAAAATTGCGTATTTACGCGACACATCGGCGGCGGGCCCCTCGAGTCCGGGGCCCTGCTGTCCGAATCTAGAATGTAGATGGGGAATCACGAAGATAAACGGGACGACAGCGCCCAATTAATTTATGTAGTCCTCTTTTTTTTAACAATCACGCCCTATCCTAGCATAATTTATGTAATTAGTTTAAACTAAATGCAGAAGTGAAACAGTGTCATCGCCCAAACCAGCATCTCTCTAAAGCATCACCAAACTCTACTTACATACCCTTAAAAACCAGATCAAGATGAAGATCATTAATCATATGCATATTAGAAGTTTAATTTTGTATTCGTGTCCTAGAGTGGTTATTATTTCCCCGAATTTTAATGAATATTTTTGAGTTTTTAACATATGACACATTCGTACGTATCAATTTTTATCAGCTGTTCTTAGCTTAAGAAAAAGGCAACCATACAAAAAAAAAACAACAAAATACATAAAATTATAAATGAAAACTGTAAAAGATCAATAATTGCACATTCTGTAGAGATTAAGGTTATGATTGTACTTACTTACTTTAAAACACTCGAAACGGAAAGGAATAGAACGAAAGTAACTGGAACGGATCAGCTGACTGATAGAGATCATACATCATATATTCATCCAATCTCACTTTCATTTTGAAGGGAATCAGTGCGCGAAGGGATGCGATCCGCTCCTCAGCACCATCCTCTCCCGCACTATCTCTTTTTTAAGTTGGGAGTGGATGCCAATCTTTTCGTTCGGCCAATCATCATCACACACACACACACACACACATATATATATATATATAAACTGAAAGAAAAACCTTAATGAGAAATGAAAACAATAAAAAAGAATAAAATTCCATGAAAAAAAAACCAGGGCGAGAGTATTATCTGTTGTTCGTCTGACAACCCACCCCCTCACCCGGCAAGCAGTGCATGTAGCGCGTGCCAATGACAAAAGGCATTTCCTAGTTCCGTTCAGCCCCTTCAACCCCCCTCCCCGAACAGTTTATCAGTTTGGCGGGCAGCTTCGATATTCCCAGCGATTCTGCGAAATGTCATGAGACATGCCGACATGAGTTTTACTATGGGGCTGAGTGTAGGTGTGTGCGCAGGTCACTCACTGTCTCTCTCTTTTACTCTCTGGCGTTGCCTAACCGCCAACGCTTTGAGCCGGCCAGCATTCCAATCGGGCCTAACCTTCAAGCGACAAGTTGCTCGAACCAAATATTGTCGCAGAGCCACGAACAACATCACCGAATGTTTTTTACCCTATGGTATATCGAGTATACATATACATATATTTATCTAACGTTAGGGTAGCAGCTCGCTCCTCCTCTCTCCTTCTCAATGATCCGCTCATCTAGGGACCAGCCCCGATTCCAGTGTTCATTAATGTAGGGTGAGGCAGAGTGAGCACTTACGTTTATGATGGCTATGCACTTCTTTACTTTCGTTTTTATGTCTATGCGGGACACAAATTTAACGAAAGAGGTCGGACACGATTGGTTAGACCGGAAGCGCTTCACCTTGAATAAACATACCTTGCCCGATACTGGTATTCGCATCATAGCTGCTGGCCAGCTTCCATTCGAAATGGCTCTCTCTCTCTAGTCTCTTTTCGGTTCTCTCTCGCTCTCTCTCTCTCTGTCTGTGTTACTTGAATGAATACCCAAGTGGCTGTGTGGCTGGCTAGCAGATGTACCGACCACAAAGCTGGGGCTTAGCTTTTGAATGCGAATGGGAAATACTGATCGCCGATCGGTGGGGCTCTGGCTGGGTCTGGGGCTGGAGCAGGGAGCGGCGGCTGAGCAGCGCGCGCGATCGCCAATTTTGCGGCGACAGACGGCAACGGAGCTATGGTTATGGCAGCAGGTAGATCAGTTGTGAATCTGGCACAGACGGACTACAACAAACCATTTGGCCTGGCCTGCTGCTCAAAGTGCTCTCGCGACGGGCGTACGCAAAAACGACAAAAAAACGCGCGCGCGACTCCTTCTAAGTACTATCTCTCTCTCTCTCTCTCTCGTCCTACCCTTTCGGTTAGTGTGTGTGTGACTGTGTTGCACTGTTATTAGTGTTATTGTTATTACTGTGTGATTAATGAACCGGGATAATCATCAAAAGATCACGCCCCACATCCCAAATAGCTCATCTATCGATGATCTATGGACTGAAAATCGATAGATGCATCCTTGATGGGCACCCATCCCTAGGAGCGTGCCTGTCTGCTTTTTTGGACACGCTTGTCTGCCCCATTAGCCATTTTTGCAACATCTGTTTGCCCAGATGCCCGTATCCATGCGTTCATGTGTCTTCTGGCTAATTGGATGGCTCTTTCCCTCTCTCTCTCTCTCTCTCTCTCTCTCTAAATGCCACGCTCAGCCTCGCTCTGTCCCCAACTCCATATGTGCGTTTGTTTGTTTTTCTTTTTTTTAAGTGTTCGATCTGTGATCTGCGAGAGAGATCATCTGATGAAGCCCATTGCCCAGTGCCTAGTGCCGACCTTGCCCGATCTCGCCCAGAACCGAGATTTCAGTAGATATGCATATATACAGTACATGTAAATTTCTAGACATATTCGGGGATATATGCACACAGTATAGCGAGTGATCGTGGTGTCCAATCGAATAAACTCAAATGCGATCGAATCGAAATCGATTCAACTTGACGATGACAATGACTCTTTCGCGATGTTAGTTTGTATCTTTATTTTGTGGCTTTCGCCGCGGTCGCCGTAAAATGTTTTGCATATGATTACAGTGAAGCCTTCGCTAACGAACACGTTTTAGCATCGCCTCGCCAGTTTTAGGCGATACTCTCTCCTTCATGAGGATACCATTTTCGAAGGCGAAAATTTTCTTCTGGTGGACAATCAAAAACAAAACTGAAAGATGGTCTTAACCTGGAACCAATATATTCAACAGAACATTGCGCTAAAGGAGCTTCTTAAGACAAATTATGCGGGCAAGCAACGTTATAAAAGAATATTTTCCTTCCGAGCTTAAACGTACCCTCTTCCTGACGGAACATTGTGCAAAACATTCTTGAAACTAGGAAAGGTGTCTTTTATCAAGTAACACATCTTGCAATCTTTGCATATAGTCGTACCAAACGGCGTACAATTGTACCATACGCGAACTATTCTTTCACCGTATTGACGCGCCCTTCATGAATCTGTCTGCATAAGTCATGAATCTGCATTCATATGTACGTAAATACATATGTACATATATACTATCGACTCATTTTCCCATTTATTAATTGTTTGGTCACTATTAATTCCTTCATTAGTCTAGAAATTCACAGCTCCTGGAGGACCATACTCATCTATTAATTTATTCATTGATCTGATCTATCCACTCATTCATCTAGCCATCTATCATATGTGCATATCGTATGAATGAATATTCATCTCTGCTTTCATGTACGAATACCAATCCACTCATTCAACATTTATTCGACGAATCATTTTAGGACTGTTACACTGTAGCGGGTATGACAAACTGTCAGTTCTACTTCATATGCCTTGTACGACGTTATGTTTGCCGCACATACACATACACATACACATACGTAAACACACACACACAGACAGGCAGAGACCGCCACAGATATAGCAGATCACAGTTCTATAATATATGGCAGATACTGGCTCTGTGTGGGCCGAAGAAAGAAAAAACGTTAAGTAAAAAACACGCAAATAATTCGCTCATTTCGTCATTTCGAGCAGCTATCAATATTTGATATATGTCGGAATATATGGGTTTCGATGTCTATACCCGAACATGTCTATATATTTGCTATACATACATACATGAGTACATATGTACATACATACGTATGGTTGTGCATATGCAAATCCATTTTGAGATCTACGTACATGTATGGCGCATGGTGTTTGCCATCGTAAAATCCTCTGATTTTGTAGATTTGTTGGCTTCAAACTGTTAGTGTGTCAACAATATTATTATGTTTTTATTTTCGTTGTTGCTTTTGCTTTAGTTGTTGTTGTGGCAAGAACGCTTGAACGTTTCATTAACTGGCGGGGGCGGGTGGTGGCGGCCGAAGGCGTTTCAAATGGTTTGGCCATCAGGCTTCAAAGCCAAAAACGAAAACTCATTTTGACCAAATGCGTTCGAAACTATGCGACGAAACAGCGAGTGGGCAGCACCACCAGTTCAAAGCAGTTCTTCGAGAGCAGCAATTATCTAAATGAGAAGTCAGTGAAGGAGGAGATACAGAAGAAGCAGATCTGCTGCTCACTCCGACAGGCAGAATAGTTCAAATCGAGTCCAAGGAAGAACACAATATGGCTCAAACAGGTACGGTTCCTGTAGCTTATACTTCCCATGAGAGGTATCCACAGAAATTGGGAGTAGAATATTACCTAATCGACAGAGCATTCACTGTAATCGGCTAGGATCCTTCTTTCAATAGCGATAGCATCTTCATCCAAATCCAAGCCATTGAAACAATCTGCAAAAAATGTTGATATTTTTTGAGGTTCGATTTGATCGATTTCAACATTTAAAATAAGTAATATCGTAAATATTATTCAGACATTTTAAAAATCAACATGGTCATTTAGTATTCCAGTGAGATTTCAAAATTTTGCAATGTCGTTGTCAACAAAAATGGTGGGTGGTAGATAATGCGCCAAATTTCAAGTGCACATTCTTTTTTATACTCGTACGATATTTACGGACAGCTTAGGGTGCATGGAGAGCAAAACGTACATATGTCTGACGGTGACTTACAAAAGCCGTTTTCCATACAACGTCATTTTGAAGGAGCATAATATAGCTATCCAAATAATTATTTATTATTAAGAAAGATTCTTTACTCTTAAATTTAGCAAATTATATTTGCAGGGTACATCGCATACATTTTTTAAATCAGTATATTTTACATTTGAAATACATACATAAGTACAAAAATTCTTGAGCTGATGATTTAAATTTGCTAATATATTTTATAAATATTTTATTTGTGGAGAAATAAATAACAAATAACTTTCAGTTTTGAGAACTCAAAACATCCGTAGTGCGATGGCATTGTTTAGGAATTTTGAATACTCTCACCAGACTATGATGTGTATGGCCTATATGTACATACATACATATGTATGTACATGCTGTACATACATACATATGTATGTACATGCTGTACATACATACATATGTATGTACATGCAGGGGATAGTTTAGCTTTTAACGAAAAAATACTCTGTGACATACGATCAATTTGATACTGATTAGCCAGGGAAATTTTTGCAGTTTCATTATAATAGTTTCTACAAAAATTTTGCTTACGATCATTTCGAAATATTAATGTACTGTTTAAACCCAAATAATATTTAATATTCGATAAGTAAGACAAGAAAAAAATGAATCGACATCTGTGAATAAATTAATTAAAAATCCATAGCCTTAATAGCTGGGTACCGTGATGGAGTGCAAGTTTAAAGGCTATCGATAGTTTATGATCATATAATTAAAATATCTTTCCATTGCGTTAAAAATTTAAAAAGCTAATTTGTATACATACTATGATATCAAAGACTATGCAATACCAAGAAAGTGCATGGGAGACCTTTGGTTTTGTTGGACATTTTCGGATCGAAAAGTACGTATTTTCTGCGCCGCAGAGAGAATAGTCCAAGAGAGAAGTGACGTACCAGTATCCCCAGCGCCACAAACAAGGAGCTTCGAACGACAATTGAAATGCAATTTTTCCTGATACAATATCTTGGTATTTTATAGGCTTTGATTATCTGCATCGGCACCGTGGTGCCATCTACACCATCTACAGACTCTTGGTGCATAAACTCCCTGCATACTTTCAGGCGCAAATTGGATTGAAACTTGACTAAGCACATTTGTAATCCAATGCAGCTGAGAAGCTTTCGTGCTACATCTCTTTGGCTACTTTATTGCGATTGATTTACAAGATAAAATCTTGCAATAAAAGCAAAAAAAATAAATAAACACAGACAAAAAAGAATCAAACAAAGCGTGGATCCAAGCTCCTGCTGGTGGTTGCTCCATTAAAGCTATGGCTCTGAGCAAGACCAGCAAATCGAAAGCTGGCGCCAAAGACGAGCAAAATGAACTGGTAAGTACCCTATACCTGTAACTACATCCCACCCCCTAACCCACCACACATACACATACACATGCACACGTACATACACGAACACACATATGCATTAAAATGTACATGTGTATCTATGCATGTACACCTCCACACACTTGGATACTTTGTGTAAGGTGGCAAAGGCAAAGCTCTCGCGTCGCGGGAAAAAAACAATGATTGGCGGCGGCGGCGGCGGCGGCTTGGGCCCAAAAACTTTTGAGTTCAGGTGTAACAAACTAACGGTGCAGCTTGCCGCCATACCCCAGTCGTATGCGCGCCATCGAAGCTCTCGCTCGTACTCGCACTCGCGCTTGCGCTCTCCTTCAGCAGCGCTCCGCCGCGCGATTGTTTACCGTCGGTTTTTGTTTTTTGATTTTCGGCGTTCGGTCTGAATTTTCTGCTGCTGTTCTTCTGTTTCTTTTGTTGCATTTTGTTGAGGGGCTGCGGTTCATTTAATAACGTTTAAATTCGAACTAAAAAAACACACAAGTGCCCCAGTGCAACATCTACTCGTATTTATTGCTATTTGTTTTTGCACAATTTGCGGTTTTTTTATACAACTTTTTTTTGCTAATTGTTACTGCTGCTGCCTCGGCCTGAATGGCAAAGGCAAAGTGCAAAGTGTGACAGCGCCAAAGAGTGTGTTCGCGTGTGCTGGTGCCCAGAGCGAACGGTGAGAAAAGTAGGAGACAGCAAACGAGAGAGGGAGGGAGAAAGAGAGAGAGCGGGAGAAGGTGTAATGTAATGTAATGGATGTTTTAAGAAGCACGCCAGGTGGTGTTCACACACAGATCTCTGAATCTGAATCTCCAGAAGGTGTCCCTATTTGTGTGCGAGGGACCAGGACCAGGACCAGGACAGAGCATCCACGCAATCAATGCCAGTGAGGAGGGATGGAATGAGGATCGCAGGTTCAACTGTGCGAGCGAATGTCGCATACGATGCTAGCTGCCAGCTCTATCTAGCGTACATGGCTCAGGCTTTAGTACGTGCAAAAAATTAATCATTAGCTCGAGTCTTGCACTCCTCACTCCTCTGGCTCTGACTATGGCTGCTCGCTTCGTTTCGTTTCGTTTAGTTTTTCTTTGCTTTGCTGTCGTGACATTTGGTGCTGTTTCTCTTACCTGCATATTTGCTGTACATTTATTTCGTACTACATTTTCTTCTCATTGGAGGCTAGATCGCTTCTATTTGCTGGTTACATCATCCCCCAGCATCACCATCCTCCTACTCACGAATCGATCGAGTAGTATACGCAATATGTTGGTACATCAAATTCCAATGCTCCTAGTTCCTATTGGAGAAGTATTGCAGCTCCACCACCGCCCCTCCCACACACCCTGGCGGCCATAAGGCGCAAATATTTTCCCACCATTAAAAAGTTCCAAGTCCGAAAGAAATAACAACGAAAAGGATGACTTGCTTTGGGAAGCCGTAGCGTTTGATACCCTTAAAAAGTCTTCATTCATACATATCTTCAATTACAGCTTGAGTAGCTTTTCCTACGAAATGACTTGTTTTTAGATCGATAACTATTATGTCAGCTGTGTACATCCAGATGCATGTGACTTATGCACACACACGCATGCATACATATGTATGTCTGTATGTATGTACAATGATTATATTGTGATGGAATCTAGGCGTTAAAGAGTTTTTATGCCAAGATCCAGTCAGATTTAGCTTCAAAAGTATTTATGTGAATAGTTTCAATGGATATAGACCGGAGTACGATGTTGGATATGGATGGAATACACTGTGCAGGTATGCATGTATGTATGTCTGTTCAGAATCTCTATACCCCGGTATAGGGTATCGAAACAGCAACAGCAACAGCAACAGCCATGAGAAACACACTCATGCAACAAATCATAGCCTGCACAAAAAGTGGACGACACCGTGCGGGCAGCAGGCGGGCTGACAAAGTGGTAGATCGTGGGGTGGGTGGGCGACGGGACAGGGAGGAGAGCCAGCACCCACAACTGTTGTTGTTGTTTCTATCCCTGTCTCTCTGTTCGCCGTTAGTTTGTGGTTAAGTGTGGCTGCCTTTTTGAAAGAGCTTCGACTGTTTTTGTTGTTATTGTTGTCCCACTCTTCTGCTCTTTTAACTTGTTTATTTGTTGTTTTTTGCTGCCCCTTTTATGGGGTAGTGAGTGGTGAAGGAGGGGAGTGTGGGTGGGGGCGGTCTGAACTATTTCTGATTTGTTTTCCCTCCCTTCTAAAAGGAAATTTTTTTGGCTGCGTCCACAATTCAATGTCTTTGTATGGCCAAAAGGCGTGAATTAGCTGCAACAACAATGGTGGAGGGGCTGAGGTCGGCGAGAGGCCTGTTTGGATACCTATTCGTCGTTGACCAGTGCGTGACTTGTGGGCTCGGCTCAAACTTTGTCTCAGCTTGAAGCATTCTCACATGAAGTTGTCGCTGCTGTTGCTGTTGCTGTTGCTGTCGCTGCTTTTGGGTCAAGTAAAAGGCACTGGCAGTGCGATTGCATTCGGAATTGTCAGATTTTGCCAAACTCTACAAAATCTCCAACTCTAGCTCAGCTACGCTCAGAGACCGGATACCTTCGGGAGCCGATGGTTTAGATACCCTTTCCTATAGAGACCATACGTTGCGTATAGAACTAGCCGAATTTCATCACTGCAATTAATTGAGTTTGGTGGTATTATAAAAGATAACTCCCACAAGCTCCTATCCATAGCAAACGATCGCTAAAAAATTTATATTTTTGGAAACTTGTAAAGATCAGGCCAGAAAAATTTGGCCTTAAGGAGTAAGTCAGGTTTTCTCGCACAGACTTGGATGAAAAACTTTTCAAGATTCAAAGAATCTCCATCCGACAGCTTTAATGAGCAAATCTTGTATAGAAACAGAACGGAGGATATCCCAACGCATCCTTAAGAATAAATCGTCCTTAAATGATCGGCAATGCTGCCCTTTTTGGGGGGCAAGCCCTTGGGGCAGAACGAGAATACCTTCTGCAAGGGTATAAAAGCTTACTGTGAGATTTGTTGACTCATAGCTGGGCGCGACCAGCTCCCAGCTCCCAACCCCACTGCCACTCCCACTCCCACTCCCACTCCCACTTCCACCTTCGAGCGGGGCTCGACAAAAGAGGAGCCAGCGCCTGATGCGGAGACAGAGCACAGAAGCTTCCTTCTCTCTTTTCTGTTCTCTGTCAATTGTTGTCGCTTTATCCATACCTATGCGGCAAATAAAACTAACGAAGCCAACAAAACCACCAACAACAGGTAGCTTTGACCGGAAACAATTACAAAAATGGCCAAATTGCAGTCACAATTAATTGTTGTTGTGTCGGTCTGACGTCAGTTTTGCGGCTTCAATGATCGCTTATTGATGGTCAAAGCCGGACCGGGCCGGGCCGGGCCGGGACGGTCCGAGCCGGGCCGGCCCCAGCACCGGTTTCGGAGCGTCCCAATGGAAGCCCAAATCGATCGCTAAAAACCGAAAATAGCAAATCAAGAAATCGGAAAAATACCCACCAACAATGGCACTCTTCAGATTTATTGTTCGTCTGCCTAATTATCAATTCAAGAATCGTTTTCGCACAACAGCAAATTAGTGGCAAGCTGTGGGAGAGGGAAGTCCGTCTCTGTGCCATGTCCATAGGAAGCCATTGAGTGTCTTGCGATCGGTGCAGAGCCAACAGACCAGCGATTGTCCAAAGTTGGGAAGCATTTGGATAGTTGGAAGCGATAATCTAGGTCATACTTAATGTAGTGTTACCTGAAGTGTTGACTGAAGACATCATATATGCACGTACATACATATGTAAATCGTATGATCTCATCGTAAGGATGGGGAATGTTTTGATTATTGGCTTTTTAAGAAACAGCCACATTGCTAGAGGAAGTGCACTGAGAGCTATTCGAATTGAGCAAAATGTAAGTTTTGATGAAGAGGAGTACATTCTGCAGCTCTAACAGATAGTTTTAGAAATCTTGGAAAATATCCAGAAAACAAATATTAAATTTTCTTTTAAAGAGGTGAAAACTAAGCGGGAGCTCATTTTTGTTTGATCTTCAGCACTATTGGTTCTTCTCAGCTCCTAGTTATTTTCGTTCTTGGCATTCTACTCTGGGATTTACCAGAAGCCATGGCTCACCCGAAGGAACTTGTCAGCTGAGAGTTAAGGTCCTCCGCGTGAAGCCTGCCCGTTATCCAATGAGATTAGTCAGTTCAATTTTCTGTCCACACAGGCTTTTGTCTCATATTTTTGCTTGCTACAGTCACAGGCCAGAGGTTCTCCTCTGGTTTTTGTGGCTCTACTCTGTAGCTACCTTTGACCGCACTTTGGGCATAGTTGAATCCAACTGAGATGAGTTTTGTTTTGTTTGAGTTTCCATTTGGATCTAACATTTCACCGCCTTGAACTCTGCTCTTTGGGAGCTGACGCGGTTCGGTTTCTGAGTTTCTCTGTTTCCATCCGCTAAGGAGGCTCCAGAGCAAGTACCAGTCCCAATCCCAGTTTCAATCCCAATCCCAGTCCCATTCCCAACCCCCAGATCCAATTATGGCCCTTGGCTTAATGAGCTCGTGGCACTCGCTCAGCTGCACATGGCCCGTTCGGGGGTTTACGCTTGGCGGGTTTAACGCCCACTGGGAATGACTGAAGCGGCAGAACTATCTGTAGCCCTTTCTAACAGCCTCTCTCTCTCTCTCTCTCTCTCGTTCCCTTTATCTCTCTAGCTATACATATATACATATGTATGGTATGTCCATAATTTATGGCTTAATTTTGTTCTCATTTCGCTTCGATTTGGCTCATAGTCGGAAAGTTTTGGTCACCTTTGAAGGCTGGAGCTGCAGCCGGGAGCCGCGCTCTGAGATGTTTTGGGTGGCCAATGAGAACCGGATCCGCTGGAGAGCAAGTGCACAAGCAATACTAATCGGGTGGCCACTGGCTGTGGCAAGGGCAGCAACTCGAGCTGAAGTCTCAGCTGGGACCAGAGCTGGCGCAGCACACGGGCAGGGACAGAGGCAGCAGCACGATTAGGAGCAGGAGCAGGAGCAGAAGCAGATGCAGATGTAGTCAGCAGAAAGCGCACAGCCACAGCCACCGCCAGATGATCGAATGGTGGTGATCCTCCTACTGTCGCCATGCACTTGCAGCCGCAGCAGCAGCAGCAGTCACGCCCACGTCCAAGCACAGGCACAGGCACCGCCCAAGCACGATCCTCCTCTCCCCCCGGATTCATCCGACCGCAGCAGCAATGAGTCCTCGTCGGCCTCCACGGGGGACACGGCCATCCCGGCCAGCTACCTCCAGCGCCAGCGCGAGCACCAGAGCCGGGAACAGCACCAGCAGCCGGCCCGTCTCCTCCGACCTAGTCATAGTCATAGCCATCAGCCAGCAGCACTGCCCGCCTTTGCCCAGGGAAGATGGGTGCCGGTTCGCCTGCAGACGGAACGGCAGCCGCAGCTGCAGCCCACAAATGCCGTGCCCAAGCCACCACGTTCCCATGGATACGGATGCGGACGCCAGGGAGACTTTTTGGCCTCGCATCCGTCACCTATCGCGCTTGTCCTTCGTGTCCAGGCCCAGGCCTTGCCAGGGCCACCGCTATCATTACTGCCCGCCGCCAGATACACTAACAGCACCACCACCACCACCAGTCCAACCACCAATCCAACTCCAACCACAGCTACAACCACCACCACTGACTACGTGCGTCACGTGACCCGCGTTAATTTCTACGACATTGATACTTCGCAGGTCGAATTCGAACCCAAAGATGACGAAGAGAGCAACGAGGCAGCGGCACCCAATTGCGATACAGAAGCTATAACCAAAGAAGGTAAGTAGGGGGCACATAACATACGGGGTTAAGGGGAATAATCTGGAGCTAGTTGCTGGAATATGTAAATGAGTTGAGTTTATCATAGGGGACATCCCTAATATCCTGTCGGTTCCTAGAGCTGGATACACACCGGATGCGTTCTATAGGGAATATTAGATCAACCAGATCATTAGTGGTGCAAAGACTGGCCAGACTCATTCTTGCTAAAAGGCCATGATCATGATATGATCTGGGGATCGTTCTGGTCGCGGTGATCTCAAGCCCAGTTCAATCAACCTTGCATAAGCCCATTCAATAAGATCAATGGGAATGATCGCGGGTGAGCCAATCAAGTGACATCATCGGGCTGTCGAAACCTTTCCAAGCATCAACCGACCAGCAATCAAGAAGAGGCCCGAGCGTGAGATCACAGCTGGAGAGAGGGACAGACTGAGACGAGATCTGAATAGTCGTAGATCTCCTTGCATTGTCCATCGATTACTCACTTGGCTATCGATTGTACGAAGCTCACTTCGAATGCAGGCCGCGCGAGTGACTGAATCAGCAGGGAAGAAACTCAATCAGATCGATCTCTGATCAACCTTTCGCACATTAAAAATGCGACGGGGAGTCCCCAGAAAATCGGACACCTATGGGGGGACACCTATGAAAATGAATGTGGATTCATGAAAGAGAAATCCCTTATGGATGCGATGCGATGCGATGAGATCCATTCCCATATTCATAATGCAGCTAATCCCAAATTCCTTTCGCTCCCTACTTTCCCAGTTGCAGCCCTCCGGGGCGCCACTTGCGGAAATTATAGAAAGTCTTGATTTAATTATGTGATTAACATAACACAAAGGCGCTACTGCCAGCAGAGGCAGTGGCTCCAACAGCAACTGCAACTGCAACTGCAACTGCAACTGCAACAATCAGTCGATTACTGGCAGCAATCTGAAAAATGTATGAGCCGAGCAGAAAGAGTGAAAAACGTGTAAAAATTAGAAATAACAAGCAGTCAACAGCAAAATGCAAATGCATGGAAAAGCGGGCAGAGGAAAACCCCACTCAACGTCTTGACAAGACTACATAAGACTGGCAACCGAGCCCACAAAAGTGATCCGGCGAAAAGGCACAGCTTCGCAGATTTCCCACGTTAGCAAATCATTAAAAATCAACTGCAAGGCAGCCTGACAAGCGCCCGACGACATTTGGCCATATGCAAACGGAGATGGTTGAAAAAATTATGGAAAAATTACAATAATTGGTGCACCACTCAAAACACCTCCTCCTCCTCCTCTTCCTCTTCCTCCTCCCCGTCCTCCTTTCAGTCGTCTTTGTCCTCCCGCCGACTGCTGTTGAATCGAGTTCCTCCTAACAAGTGCTGCGCTGCAAAGGAGAAGGAGTGGAACAGATGAAAATCGAGATTGGGAGGAAATCGGTTGACAGAAACCGTTGGCCTGGCCATAATCGATACCACAATTAGTCCAAATGTGTGCAGCAGATCAGCAGATCGGCGGATCAGCGGGGAGCCCAAGATGTAATGCAATCTTTGGCTATGGCCAAATCGATGGCAGAAATCGAGGCTTGTTAAGTGGGCGTGGCCATGCAACATAAATTAACATTAGCGTCAGCCCAAGCGCAATCGATCGAATCGAATCGGCTTGGATCGAACAATGAAAACGAAACTGAGAATGCTATTGCAGCCGATACACCTCAACCGTCTCCGCCACCGCCGCCACCCCTGCCTATGCCTTAACCTGCTGCACCACAACCACCTCCTGCTCCTCTTGCTCCTCCTTCCCTTCCCTTTGTTTGCTTAATTGTGATTGCCGTAGTTGTTGCTGGCAAAGTTGTTGCTATTTATGAAGTGCCTGCCCGACTGCTCAGGGGGATGGGGATGGGGAATGGGAAGGGGAAGGCAGAGAAGCAGCAGTTGCAACAATGCGGATATATGTATATGTACAAGTGATAAAGATAAACAGTCTGGTCAGGCAAATATACGAACAATAGACTGCCGGGGCTAAGGGACGGGGCAGGGGCCTTGCCACAGTAAAACCTATGGCATGACGAGGCTTAGGTCTAACGACAGATACATAGACTGCTTGCAATTGTAGAAAAAATACGTACCTAATCTCCCAAATTATCCAGTAGGTAATGAGAACCATTGCTGTAATGAAATATAATTCCATAAGTCGGATCGAAAGCAACCCATAACCTAGGTCGTTCCATCAATAAATCTGAATACAAGAATCTTTTTCGGAAAGAACAGTTGAACAGATGATATTTGTAATAAGAGTACGCTTTATCATAATGTGCACTAAACGTGCATTTACAGAATAGTTTTTAACATTTAAAACACATCTCTTCCCAGATGTTTCACACGGTATTCCTGGATAAATGCTTACGAGGTTCTCTTGCCATAGAATTTAATATTATACTTAAAAAAACCTAGAAATTAATATTAAGGAAAACCCTTCATGGGTCATTTTCTATAGTGCTTTATTTAGGAAATTGCCCAGCTTTCCTGTAGTTCAGCTCGGGCCTCCCTCTGTAGGCAGTCTTGACTGCGCCTAGTTCGATCGACTGCCCAGCGGATGGGCGATTGCGGGCTCGAATTTGAAGCGAGTCGCGAGACTGACGCCGGACTCCCCCCTTAGACGCCAGACAACGAGACGTCTCGTTTCGGTTTCTGCTGCTGCTGCTGCTGCTGCGAATGCAGATAGATTATATAAGCGACCTTTAATGGTCCAGCGATTTCAATGCAGTCAGAGACGGAGCTGGGGACAGAGAGCCCCAGACGCTGTCGATGCAAAAAAGCGAAGAAAACCTCTGCTCCGTTTTCATTCAGATGCAACAAAAAAAAGAGCAGAAATCTGTGCTTTGCCAGTTGTCGGATGTCCGTGCTCGAAGAGAGCTTAGGCTCTTGGCCAGCTCTTGGCCCACCTCTGAGTGCAGGTTGCCCAACACAGGCACACACCGAGTACAGTTAGGCAGAGATCGGAGTCGGACTCTGAGACTGAGACTGAGACTGAGACTGCGGCTGTGGCTGGGTCTGGGACCAGATAGACCAACTTGGACTTGGTTACGTAATTGGGCGAGCAACTCAAACGCGGCAACAGATCGCTGAAGCGATTCAGTCTCAGTGCCCTGCCCCTCCCCTCCGCCCGTTTCTTTTGTTAGAAGTGGCAAGTCCAAAATGGGCTTTATCCACATGCAAATGAGGCATCTTGGAGTCGTGGCTGGTATGTTGCAATCCCAGCCTAAAAAAGAACTGGAATTGACCAACCAAAGTCCTTTGTGCGGTTTAATTAAATTGGAGAAAAGCTCCAGGGAAAAGCTTCCTTTGAGCTTGGTCTGAGCATCGGCTGCAAAAGCTTTGTCTACAGCAGAGCCGAGCTCAAGTGGAGCTTTCTGTAGTCTTCTTTTGGGAGCGGCTCGAAATTCGTAAAGCTCTAATCAAACTTCCGTTCATTGCAGAGGAGTGGATAACGAAGCGGAAGACAGAGCTAACCACGACCAGACAGATCGAGACGAGAGTGAAAAGGCAGGTGAAGCTGCAGGATGGCAAAGTCATCGAGGACTCTGGCCCCATTGTGTCAACGAACACCACCGAGGACACTGACAAACAGGAGACGGAAACAACTGAGGTGAGTCCACTGGTGTCACCCATCAATCCGGTTTCTGTATTGATGGTTTCCGATGATGGTTCCTTGCTCGCAGAAACGCGATTTGGACCTGCCCGATGATCTGGATGGGAACGCCCAGCTGATCGATGTGGCAGCCCTGCAGGCTAGCGCCGTGAGCGAGTCGCAGCTGACCCAGCTGCAGGAGGCCTTCGGGCCGGACAGCGGGTCCGGTGGTAAGCTGGTGAAGCGCATGGTCCCACGTCCCGTGGATGGGCTGGTGCGGCAGGTGGACGATAAGCGGGTAATATCGCACGAGGAGATCAAGGACTACCACGAGACGGAGGATATTCGGCACCTGGGTGACTTTACGGATCAGGTGAGTCCCAATCCCGTGACAGCGAGGTACATACATATAGTCTCAAAACTTACGTTTGCTAAAGAATATGAGCGGACAGCACTAGATTCCGGTTCGCAGAGATGCAGACAGAAGACAGGAGCGGTTTAGCCGCCTGTCAGGTCCATGCACACACACAGACTTCAATGGAAGTGTGTCTGTTAGTGTGTAATCGGAGACAGGAGAGTGCGGACAAGCAAAACCGAATATTGGCGTAAATAACTGAAAATCAATTCGGCGTGAAAAGCCACAATGTAGACGGACAGCAGCGACGCCAGCAGCGGCAGCGCCATTGGTCAGTTGCGTTGAGTTTTTTGTATACCCTTGGAGGTTATGACTTAGACCAGATGTATGCAACGCATCGATTAAACATATGTACATATATTCATGATCAGCATTAACAACCGATTCGGTACACCACGTAAATACTACGCCAAATCGCCAAAAGCGGATTCTAGATTGTATAATACAGCTGGCACAAGAGCCAGATAACTGCACCGAGTATGCTCTATCACGCCGCCAAAATCTTCAGTTTCTATCACGAAACGCATCGATCACACCTCATAAAATTTGCGAGTATGTGATCAGGTGTTACCCAAAACTGATCACTCGTTGCTGCTCTCTGATAGAAACGCTCTCTTTACGAGGGTATGAAAAGTCCGACTCCCGAAGCTAGACTTCCTTTTCTTGCTGCTTCTTCTTATTTGTTCGGTCGCTGCCACTACCTGCGCTGATATCTCTGCTTCTGCTTCTGCTTCTGCTTCTGCCTCTGCTGTTGCTGTTGTTGTTGTTGTGGCTGCTTTTAAGCTCATTCGAAAGTTATTGGTGTTGTTGCTGCTGCCTGCTGGCTGCTGGCTGCATCTCAAAAGCAACTCAAGCTGCGGGCCGTTCGCTGCCGCTGCTGCTGTCAGATCAGTCGCCGCCGAGCGAGCGCCAAGACAACTCGTTTTGCATTTAGCGCGTTCGATTCGGCTTTGCAGTGCCGTCGTGTATCTCTCTGTCTTTGCATTTGGTTTACAGTTTCTGTCTTTGCTTTCGCTACCAAAAGCTCGAGCGTTGGATAGACGTATTCCCCATTGGACCTAACATCTGGCTGTGTTGTTGTAGGTGTGTGTATTTTTTTTGTTTACAACGGCGCTGCTCTGTGATTTCGTTAGTTACTCTCTCTTCCTCTCTCGTGCTCTCTCGCTTCACAATTCTCCTAATCGCGGACTCTCTCTGGTGGGAGGTGTGTGTGTGTGTGTTTGTGTCTTAATTTAACTGTTAATGCGTGGGTCCACCTATGGCAGATGGTTCCAACAGATTAGAGCAGCGCCAATTGAGTGCGAAGTGACCAAAAAAGCGGAAGGAGGAGCAGAAAAAGGGAGATCACTGAAAGAAGGCGCAGCATAGCAGCATATAGACGACGAAAAAGGAGCAGCAAACAAGCCCAACCACAATTGGCATAATTCTCAAATGTGCGATATACGGTAACCCCATCTCCACCACGCCTACTCTAACCGTACCCCCAATAAGAAGAGACTCTTAGACTCTATAGCTCTTGACCAGATCTGGAGCTAATGCCAACCTAACCGGTAGTTGGCAATTAACCAAACCAAAAAGGTATTGCCATTGAAGCTGCACGGAAAGAAAAAGGTTGAAATTTGAAAAAGATCGTGGTTCCCGTATCTTTTATGTGTGTCTTCAAGGTGATACATAATTCACCTGTACATATGGACAATTGTATGTATGTACATACAGATATCTAAATATTGATGAATATCCACGGTTAATATTGTCACTAATAAATGTTATACCTTTTAACATATGTACATATGTATATCTAAGTGATATACTACTATTTGAAAAGGGAATATGTTTAAATCTGGTTATCTGATAATACCCATCCCGAAATATCAATCTTTGATTTTCAGTGTATTGATGATTCCTCTTGTTGTGGTCGTTAATGTTACAAGAGGCAGTGAAAGACAGAGAGGGAGAAAACTGAAGAGAGAGAGAGAGAGAGAGGGAGAGGGAGAGGCAGAGTACACTCTTTGCGTTCGGGCTAGGGCAGCTGGTCTGCTGAGCTGCGCAGACCTGTTCTGAGCCAGGTTTAATCAATAGCTGGAGAGGAGTCTCCTGCTTGGATTCTAGGCGTGTCTGAGGAAGGTCCATGAACCTAACCACACATATACATCCAAGTACCCACACAGACACATATACACAGATTGAGATATAAACACAAAGCAGAATGGGGGGCTGTGGGGAGTAGACCTGAGACGATTGCAGTGGGCATTAAATTCGTCCATGCCACAACATTCACAGAAGTCTGCTGGCAAGAGAGACCCCACTAAAAAGTGTTTGGAATTTGAATTTTCATTTCTTGTATTTTTCAGTACTTCTTTGCATCTGTGTTTGTTTCTGTGTGTGTGTCTGTGTGTGTGTGTGTGTGGGTACTTGGCTAGCTGTAGCCCAAACCGAAACCCGTTTCGAGTCAGTCTAGGTGCCCACATGCTAAACCAAACCAAACCGATCCAGCCCCAACAACTCTAATCAGCAAATGACAATCAGCAGCTGGGGCAACGGCTGTGGCAGCGACAGGGACTGGGACTGGGACTGGGACTGGGGCAGGAAAAGGGGCCGAGGGGGCAACAACTTCACGCAACGGAAACTATAACCAGACCCAGAGCAGACCCCACTCAGTCCTCTAGAGCAGCCCAAGTCTGGACTCCCAGACTCGTTCCCAAGTCGAGCTTCGACTTGGACTCGCAACGGGGCGTTTAACTAAGTACACACATACCCAGCTGCTTGCCGCGCAGGGAGGCAAGCATTTCCGAACCTATAAATTATATGTATGTACATATGTACATGAATATGTATAGCCATATCTGAAGATCCATCTGCCTGGTCTTCAGATATGGTTCTGAAACCCAATGAAGTACTATTCTTCCCAGTAAAACAATTTTCGGGATCTATGCTACAGAACATAATAAACACATATGTATGTACGTACAAATAATATATATGCCGCACATATCCCGCCAAAAGCCAAATTTAGTTTTTTTCAAGCAATAAGGAGTGTCCTGTCTGGGAGCTGATCTCTAATTTTATAGGAGATTCAATGCGGGGAGGATGTACGGGTATACACCAGAATCGGAGCTTGATAATTTTTCCAATAATCCAAACAACAAAATCCATCTGCAAGGGTATCTGGTCCGTCCACTATTGGCTGCCCACTGCCCACCGCCCGTCACCCAGCTTTGGGTGTACTTCTGACTCTGGCTCTGTCTCCAGCTCCAGCTCCAGCTCGAGCTCAAGCACCAGCCCCGAACCTCATCATCGACTTGGCTATGATTATCATATGGAGCGGGCTGGCGCGTTGGCGTTGGCCGCACACTAACTGAATTACAATAATAATAATCGATCGCGAGCTCCGTGAGGTTGAGCAACTCCCAAGGCAAACTGGTCTTGGTCTTGGTCGGTGAGCCCAGCTCCAGCTCCAGCGCCAGCTCCAGCACTCCGACCGAGCCACCCCTTCGGCTCCCCTTTTAAAATCTGCTCATTTCTCTTTTTATTTCGTATTTTTTGTTTTAGTTTGTTGCGATTTTGTGTCTTTCATTCGGCTTTGTTTTTTCGACGGTTCGGTTTCGGCCAGGCCACTTGGCATGCCAGGCAACATGGCCAGCAGTCCATTTGAATATTGGTATGTGTGTGGGTATCGGTATGGGTATGGGTATGGGTATGGGTATGGGTACATGCAAGAGAAGTATGTATGTATCTACTTATGGAGCCCTGTCACAGTCCCCGCTGAGTGGACCCCGTGCCCATTACCACTGCCCCTATGGCCCAGCAGGTCCAACTCTTTTCGTTGGAATTCAGTTTGAGATTCGGCCAAGTTAAGTCAAGTCGAAGATAAATCACAGTCATGAAAGAAGAGGGGATACACTCGAACAGGGCATACCCTCTACCCTCTAGTGTGACAGCTGCAGTTGGAAGGGTTTCCAAAAGCACTTCCTGAGAAGCACTCGAATTTGATCACTCAGCATCTGGAAATCCCTATACATTTTCAGATTTAACCTTGTGCAAAACAGTAAGCTCTCCCTTGAAGGAATATGCCCACATTCAGTGTGTTGCCCATTGGGTTACGGTATTTTTGGTCAATGACAAACCGCTTGACAATGCTATAAAAAGACTAGAGGGGCAAAGTCTGTCTTCGCTTCGAAGTCTGCGTCAGCGTCAGCGTCAACGTCATCGATTGATATTAATCATCGATTGGTGCGCCAACACCAACGACAACGACAACAGCTCTTTACCATCTCTATAGATCAGATTCCCCTTCTCTGGCTTTGCTTCGTTGATCAATCAATGAAGCTAGCAGCGCCGTAAGCCAACAGACACCGTCGCACACATTTGCGATAGTATGCATACAGTAGAGTTCAAAATAATAGGAGCTGGATGACGCCCCAAAATATTCTGCGCATTCACTGGGTTTAAAATAAAGAATTTGTCACGATTCCAAGGTTTGATACTTGCCTAATGTCATTTTTCCGAAAACTCAGTAATTTAAACATAATTTTTATTAAATATTACCCAAATCCGACCGCTTTCACATACATATAGGGCAATCAAGAGCTCTGGTCGGAAGAATTTACATTTTTTCTTGGCTGCCTCGAATATTTTGAGGCTTAAGATTAATGCAAATTTTCTTCAACTGGAACCTGCATTTTCTTGGGCTTTAATCAGTGAATCAGCGATTATGCATTGTGCACTGTGCATTTACAGATGGACATATGGCATATGGATGGCAAATTTCGTTTGCCATCGAACGCTCAATGGGTTGAAAAGCGAACAAAAAAGGCCCCAGAGGCGAATCGCATCACGGAGGGGAGCGGATGCTGTATATGCAGGGGCAGGGGCATAGACAACGGCTGAGGGGTGGGATGAGTGGGGGCTGACTGACCATCAAGTTTCAGACTGAAAGCAAAACCAGCAACAAAACACTTTCTACGCGCGTTACCGTTAAACAAGGTCGACGACAACAAAAACTACAACCAGTTGTGGATCCACAGGTAGGTAGGTGGGGGGGGATCGGGGTATGGGGATAGGAAGGGGTCGGACAAAGCGATCTCTTCTGCGGTTCGGAGATGGCCAGCGCTGGTCACCCAGGCGTGCCTTTTGCTTGTCATCTATTCCAGCGATGCGATCCCATCCGACCTTGAGATGTCTATGCCTAAGTTTTTCCTTCTTTAGTCTGCCCATACCACCCCACCCTTCTCTTTGTTTTCTTCTTCGACTGCTGTTTCTTCTTCTGTTTATAGCATTTCAGAAGGTATTATCATGGTTATTATATTGCCCGTATTATTGCAACGCACATAAATTAGTACTTAGGTTACTCGCATGTATTCTTTAGAAGCCTTAAAGCAATCCGATTGAGCTGACGTTGACTTTGACCCCGTGAACGGACCTACCAAATCTGACATCTGACGTCTGATCATACGATCTTATCGTACGAGTACCAATGCTGATCCTTACGATTACGGGCAGCTATACGTAGATCCATCCAGGGGTATCTGAATCTTCGGTCATCGTTGCCATGTCGCTTGTACACACACGTATTCGAGCTGGCTTTGCATTCTTGACTTTTACCGCTAACCCAATGACGTTGCCCCATCCAAGCTTGAAGCTTGAAGAAGTAAATGGATTTTCCGCTGCTCCTCCGACTCTGTCTTGCTCTGAATACGAAAGCCAGCTGAAACCCAGCTGGGAGCTAGGACGGGCTGTGTGTGTGCAGTCACTGCATCGCTGGAGAAGTGATGCAACGCTTAGAGGGAAGGGGGCTGGGTACTGGGGACTGGGGACTGGGGATGAGCAGATGAGCTACTGCACTAGAATGTGGCATACTAAGCGAAAGTTTTTTGGCTTCTTTATTCCATGGCAGACCTACGTGAAGGCAGTACGCGAGGGAGCCGAGGATCTTGAAGCCGTGCTCTGCTCGCCGGAGAGCCAACGTCAGCTGGTGCCACTGGGGCCGCAGGTGGTCGCCAATCGGAGTAAGTCGCGCAAGACCATCGACTCGGAGGACACGCAAAAACGGTGTCTGGCCCAGGAGGACGGGACGCTGGTGACCGAGAGCAAGCGGACCACCGAACACGAGCTCATACTCGACGACGAGCTGCCCGAGAGGGATGAACGGGGCCTGCGGTTCGGACTGGAGCAGGAGCAGGTGACAACGACGGCGGCAAATCAACGATACTTCCGCCAGCGCGACGAGCAGCATGTGGATGTGCTAGCCAACGGCAAGTTGCTGTCCACCGAGATGCGCTACGCGGCCGAGACGACCCAGATGGACAAGGACGGTCCCGGTGAATTGGAGCGACCTGGTGACTGGGACAGCCTCTCGGACCGCATGCGCAAGCTGCGGCGCTCCCAGCAGCAGCAGCAGAAGGGTGAGTACAGTCCGGCCCCGGTCCAGATAAATCTCCGCTCCTCTCTCCCAAAGCCAAGCTAATCCCTGTGGTGCTTCCGCTTCCCTTCCAGAGGTGGCCCTGCTGGCCGATCGCAAAGATGCTCTGACCAAGCGGCCGCTCGACTTTGACCGCGAGGAGGAGACCCGCAAGGGCGAGACGATGAAGTGGCTGGAGTCGCACTTTGGCAGCGAGTCCACTGCCTCCAACGACTCGCGTGACGACGAGGCCGAAGCCGAAGTGGAGCCCACCAAGAAGAGCTACTTCAATGTGACCATCAAGTCGCAGAGCCAGCCGGCGGCTCATGTGCATGCTCATGGCCATTCCCAGTCGCAGCTGACCACCCAGCATCCACATCATCCTCCCCAGCATCACGCCCATCACCCGCAGACCCTGCCCCGCAGTGCAGAGAGGGAGAGGGAGCGGGAGCGGGAACGAGATCGGGAACGTTTGCCTCCCGCCATGGCGGTCCCAGCAACCACACTCGAGCGTAAGCCAGCGAACCAGAGTGGGGCAGGACGCTCCAAGTACTTTCAGGGCATATCCAATTGGTCGGAGCGCAAGGAGGCGGGACCACTGGTAAATCACTTCTCGTCGCAGGCCTTCCGCGAGGACCTCCAGGAGACAATACGGCGCAACGGGCTCAAGAAGAAGATAAGCGGCCCCACTTCCAGCCAGGGATCGGGACTGGGAACGACTGCCCATGCACCGGACAGCCTGGCCAAGGACAGCTATGTGAGCCGAGAGGATATCCTGCAGCAGAAGCGCCAGAGCCTCTCATCGCAATTCCTGGCCCGCTCCATGCGCGGCTCTCACGATGCCCTCGACGACTTGGAGGCCATACCCGGCCCGGGACCAGCGCCAGTGCCGCCACGACCCGAAGAGCCGTCGCACAAGCGAGTGGCGTATGGACATCGCCACAACAACAGCAATCCGGTCAATGGAATTGCCCCCGCTGCGGTAAACGGTCGCGGGAAGAGCTACGAGCCCGCTGCCCCAACGCCGCCCCTAACGTCTCTGGCTTCCATGGAGTTTTCCGGCAGCAGCAGCAACCTGGGCCTGGCTCGGCCCACAGTACCGCAGCGTCGACGTGCCATCGAGAAAAAGCTGGGCGAGCACAGCCATGCCCACGTCCATGTGCCCGTCAAGGCGACCGCACCCCAGCCATCGCTGGAGCCACCGCCAGACTATTCGCCGCCACCTCGCAGCCGCAGCCGCTCCTCGTCACCGCAGGTTGACTACCTGATGACGCGGCCGCCCCGGGAGGTACCCACAAGCACGATGACCCTTAGCCGGAAGCAGCAGCAGCGCACACGCTTCGCCCCAACGTCCAACTACCCGCCAGCATTGGGAGGGGGCGCGGGCGTGAGCACAGGTACTCTCCGTCCGGGGGCCACATCTGCCTCCACCTCAAATCTGTCTGCGGTCAGTGGCAGCGCCGGAGGCGGAGGCGGCCTTAGCAAGCCCAGCCGGATGGGCCAAGTCATAGGGAACTCGCTGCGCAAGCTGGTCAGCAAGATCCGTTCGGCCAGCGCCGAGCGGAAGTTCCGCATGAAATCCGCCTCCAGCAAGTCCCGCGAGCAGTCGCCCAGCCAAGGTCACGGCGGAGGCGGTGGCGCCCCTGGTGGACCGGGTGCTGGGGTGACTACCTATCAGCAGTACAATGTTATAGATGGCCACATCGGGGGCGGGCACCGTCACAGCAGCAACGATTCAGAGGACTCGGCAAGCGACATTCAGCACCGAAGGGAGCGCGATAGAGACAGAGAACGTGAACGTGAACGGGAGAGGGAAAGAGATCGCGAACGGGAGCGAGAGCCTCTGAAGCCCGAGACGCAATCCACGCTAGCCATATCAACGCAGTCGGGACGACAGACCTTCAAGCGAGCCGAGTCCGCAGATCCCCAGCTGCAGCACCTGGAGCAAACGATCAGTCCGCGTCAACGGTACTACCTGGGCGAGGATCCCTACTCCAGCACCCTCTACGGGAAGGAGAACATCTATGAACGACGCCCGCGCCAGCGCTACGACCAGCGCGTGGAGGAACGAGCAGATCGAGAGCGGGACCGGGACCGGGACCGGGAGGACGACTATTACGAGTCGCGGGCTCCGCCGCCTGTCACCTCGTCACATACCCTGGGACGCTACCAGAAGCACGGACAGCGCTTTAGCGGTTCCACGCCCAATCTCCACCAGCAGCAGCAGGACTACCGATCGGCTCAGACGTTGCCCCGCAAAATGCACGAACACCGCTACAGCCTAGAGAAGCCCCTACCGCCCCACGGTCGTTCTACTTCTACCTATGTCACGGCCCCCCCGGCACCGACTTCACTGCAGCAACAGCACCAGCATCATCAGCAGCCGCATCCCCAGCAACGTGGAGTGAGCCAGGTCCAGGCAATGCCGCAGGGTCCGGCAAAGCCTGCGCGCACCTATGCCAAGGTCTTGAACCGCAGCAAGAGCTTCAATGTGCACGGCATGAACGGTAGCAATGATCCTAGTCCCATCTACATAGAAAAGCTGACCAGGAACAACTACAGCGGCGGAGTAGCCGGAGGTGGCAACAGTAACTACAGCAATGGCTATCAACTGAGGCAGGAACAGGGGCTTGGCCAGAGCCAGAACTACAAGTCCAATCCGCATTTGTTCTCCGGGAAAGACAACTCGTTGAAGAGCGGCCTCAAGAGTCCTTCCATTGTCAATCTGATCAGTCGCAGTCAGAAGGATCTGACCAAGATAGCCACTGGCAACGAGGACGACCCGGACCTGCCATATCAGGAGGATAAGAAGCAGATGTACTTGCGTGGCCTGCACCAGCAGGCGCCAGATCTCTATCGGGTAATCCACGGCGATGAGGACTACGGTCCGCGCAGCCCCTCCACCAATGGCCACAAGTATCCGCTGCAGCCCAAGTACTCGCTGGATTCGCGGTCGCCGCCGTCCGTCGAGCTCAACAAGGACACGGCGAGCATCGTGCGTCGCAGCAGCGAGGTGGACTCCAAGCACCAGCACCAGCACCAGCACCAGCAACATGTCCACACACATCACCAGCATCTGCAGCATCCACAGCAGCAACAGCCGCATCTGCGACGGGGTTCCGGGGCGACCATCATAGAGCTACGTAATACTGCCGGCCATCGAAAGTGATTTGCCATCGCTCTCTCTCTCTCTCTGTCTCTCTCCCTCGATAACCACTTCTCGTATGCCGTATGGTCGAACACAGCCACACACAGTATGCCAATGTATGTCTCTGTCTCTGTCTAACTATTTGCTGTCTCGCTATTTGCTCGCTAACAAATGCCCGGCCTTGGCTTTAGTTTTATTTGACAAGCAGCAAATCAAAATAAAAGGCCAAACTTAATGGATGATCAGAAATCGAACGAAATCGCTACCATTCCTGCTGTCCTGCCACGCCTCTTCTAATCGTAATCTACAATATGTTGATTATAATAATACCTAAATTTAAATGCAATATCTATAATATTTCGATTAAATTTTTTGTTTTTTTTTTATACTAATCTTAACGTTTGTTGTATAGATACCGTTGTATGGATAAACTAACTAAAATAACTAATATTAATTCGATATTATTGTACATGTTTGATTAATAAACAAATTCAAATTAAAATAAAAAATACAAATACAAATAAAGTGCCAAAACAAACAAAGTCCTGATCCCGAAAGTGGCTTTCGATTCTTCTGGCTGGACATAGCAACGTGATTGAAGAGCTATCTCTAACAAGACCATTGATTGTGCGCCTTTTAATTTTCACTTTATTCGCTTTCACACTGTGACCGTGATCTATAGCTAAATCACAATCTTCATTTACAGTTGGCGCCTGAAAGCATGCTGGAAAATGTGTTAAGCACAACACAAGGAACTAATATCCAAAACTTGTTTGTTCTTATACCCGCTACTCGAAGAGTGTAGGGGTATATTAGATTTGTGGCGGAAGTGGATGTGTGTAACACCCATAAGGAAGTATATACATATATTCTCGATCAGCATCGTCTTTCCGTCCCGATGATAGCCTAGATCTCTAAGACTCTAAGAGCTAAAGCAACCGAATTTTGTATCTAGACTCCTGTGATATCACACTGTTACGAGTCCCTACAAAGAGCGAAAATCTAAGGCATAATCGTGCAGAATGACCATATCTAGCAGATCGGATCATTATTAGAGCCACAAGAAACAAATTCCTGCTGTGAGCGCTTTGGCGGAGCTGGTGTTGGTGTAAGAATAGAAAAAAGGAGACATGTAAAAAAATTAAAAGAAAAACGGAAACAGATTAGATCTAATTGATTGATAATTAGATAAGATTAGATTCGATTTTTGGTGAAAATGTATGTGTGTAACGTCCAGAAAGAAGCGTTTCCGACCCCATAAAGTATATACATATATGCTTGATCAGCATCAATAGCCGATGCCATGTCGATTCAGCCATGTCTGTCTGTCCGTGTCTATGAGCGCCTAGTGCTCAGAGACTAAACTAGTTAGAGCAAAGACATTTTGTACCCAGACTTCTGTGATATGTCACTGTTACAAGCGTATTTTCAAAATTTCGCCTCACCCCTTTCCGCCCCACAAAGAACGAAAATCTGTGGCACCCACAACTTTGAAGAGACGAGAAAATTAAAAATCGCGCACTCATAGAGAATGACCATATGTACCAGATACATATACAATCATTTGTATAGCCAAGAGTAACAAATTAATTTTCGGTCGCTACGCAGCGGCCGACGACACGTCAAGACTGATTTTTTGTCTTTCACGCACGCACTCTTTGTCGTTCAGTGTTCGCGACGTCTGCCGGAGGAGAGCCATACTGACTAAGTATCGGGTATAAATGTAGAGTTGCGGTCGCAGCAGCAACTCACAACGTCCCCCCCGTTCTGTCTTGAGAGCAGCGATACCAAACGACATATAAAAGATATTGAATAAATTACATAAATCATAAGCTCATATATGTACTGCCTGAGCACCGAGTATTAAGTAGCACCGCGTCCGTTTCAGCGTCTCACAAGGTTCCCGCTCGTTTCTGTAATAAGTATCAGTCTATTTGTTATGGCCATTATGCCATTTAAACGATAGATACAAAGTCGAAAAGACTGCATTGTAAATAAGAAGTAAACTTATAATTGTGAAATGTGTTTCTAGAGCTTATGGGTATATTGGAGCTTCCCTGTAGTACACTTATAACACTTTGCAACACCATATTTACGCTTCGAGCCAATCCGAATTGTTCTGAGGGATTTAGTGCTTTAAAATTGTATTATGGGTTTTTCATGGTGTGTTTTTTTTTAAATTTTTTTAGAAACTTGTAGTTTTTTGCCTAACTTAAGTATCGTGTGTTATGTGAAAAACAAAGCAGTAACTCTGAAAAAATATTTAAAAAAAAGAACAGTTTTTAAACATTTAAAAAAAAAAAAGTTCATTAACATATAAATATTTTGTAGTTTTAAATTAAATTAAATTAAATTTGGTGCTAAAATTATTTTGCCATACCGGATAATATTTCACGTCCTGATGGCGGTTATCGTGTAAAGTTTTCATCTAGCAATCACAACCTCAGTAGAACTCGAATGGTTATGATTGTACCAGTTGGGAATGGAAGGGACATTCAAAATTGATATAAGCTTAGTTCCACGAAATACAACAAAAATATTTAAATTCATTTAATATGATGTATTCAAAATAAACAGTCTTTCCCTTTGATATTCAAATAAACATTGTCGAATTCATAATAATATTCAATATAAACATTTTAATCTATAAATGTGTTATTAATTTGTAGGTCAAATATCAACAGTATTAAAAAGACTTTTCAATACACCTGTGTTTGAATCAAAATGGTTATATTTAATTTTACTATTTTTCTTTTTAAAGACCATATATTTAATTTCGATATGGGTGAGCTCAGCAGTATTGCCTCCTAAAATAATACATATTTAAACATTTTTAAATAAATAACCCTCATTGGTCTTTGAAAATGTTTCCGTGACAGAGAGGTCCGTGTACTGGGTATGGCATTGTCGAGCTGGCTATAAAATTCCAGCTTACAACATAGTAAAATCGAGCTTACTCGTGGAGCAGTGAATCCTATAAAATCAGCGCTTAGCTGCAGCTAGCGAGCTGTTTCTGGGACTAGCCGAGCGTTACGGTTCATCGAAACACTGACGGAGTGCTAATATCTGGGGGTTATTTGGGTCGCATAGACTTTGCTATCGCCGAGAAACTCGACTAGTTGCGCAGAGTCTGTCGTGAAGAGCTGAAGTGCTCCTGCAGCTGTCTGTATTCTTCATTATGCTGATAATTCTGTTGCTGATTAAAGTCCTCGCCGTGCTGGGCAAGGGCTGGCCATGGGAGAACAAATCCCTGCTTGTGGACATCGTAGAAACGGTTCCAAAGAGTTCCAATGCTACGATGAGCCAGTGCGAGAAGCAGCTGCTACAGCTGGGCGATGCCTTGCAGGGCCAGAAGTTCTGGGCGTTGAAGGGTAAGTGAAAGACGCACTGATCGGTCGTTGAGCGGTTCAATTTACTACTGATTAATTCAGCTCTGGATGCTTCGGGCGAGGGCTTTTCCAACATTATGATGGGCCCGAGCTTGTGGTTGGGCAGTCGGGCCACCTGCCGTGCTGTCAATGAACCAATGCTTCTGGACCTGACCGCGCAAATGCCGAAACTCCTCGTGGAGGTGGCCCCCTTTGCTTTTGATTACCAAGTAGCCTACATCAGGGCCAGATCTCCTTGGCAAATATCGATTTCTATTAAGGAGGATCCTATGCTCCACATTGGTCTCTGCCTGCCTAGCAGTTGCAGCACCCCCAGAGTCGAGCGACTACTGCGCCAGGCCCTGATCACGGGCCAGAGCTTTCAGCGCTGGGATATGCGTCCACAGCTTGAGTACGTGAAGAAGCCACAACTGAAGCAGGATTTCTACAAGAGCCGAACACTCCACTTGGTCCTGGGTGTGATAACAGGAATACTCCTGCTGACCGTCCTGGCCGTCAGTGGACTTGATAACCGTTCCCGCATCGTAGCCTGCTTTAATGTATCTACCAACTGGCAACGCCTGTATCATGAAGTGAATCCCAGCCAGGAGAACAGCGTCATCAATGGGCTGAGGGTCTACGCAGCTTTCACTCTTTTGGGGGTGCATGTAATCTGGTACAAGTACTTTTCCGTGGACCCTTCGGTGGAGATTCTCAACAAGCTGGTCCACATGACCATGAGGCACACCTACATACCACTTGTGGTGGAGGTGTTCTTTGTTATTAGGTTCGCATGGCTTATTTCAACACTCTTCCATTCCATTGATGACATCTTCATTGCAGCGGCTTCCTTACCGTGACGAATTTTCTACGGGACGAGAAACTGCAACAGAACATTGCCCGGGACAGCCTGCGCGGGAACGTGCAGCGCTACCTCAGGCAGCTGCTGCATCGCTTCCTGCGTCTTGCTCCTATGCAGTTCGTAGTCCTTCTAATAGGAACCCTCAGCATGGAATACCAGAAACAGGTGTCCGTCTTTCACATAAGCGATTCGATGGACGAGCTCTGCCCTCGGCATTGGCACCGCCAGTTGCTATTCATCCAAAACTTTTTTCCCGTCATTGAGCTCTGTGGGAACTGGACCTGGTCGCTGGCTTGTGATATGCAGCTCCATATGGTGGCTCTGCTGATGCTCTTCATTCACACCAGGCATCCGAGGGTGGTACGATCTCTGGTTGCTCTGATTCTGGCGGGGAACATTGCCTATACGCTTCTGGTGATGGAGATCTTGAAGGTGGGCGGCAATTTTGATGATTTCATCCACTCGGGCAAATTGTTGTACGTGAGTCCCATTGTCCGCACGCTTGCCTATATTGTTGGCGGTGCCTATGGGTATTCTCATGTGCGGGGCAGCCCGACTCCTTTCGATCAGATACTGCCTAATCGGTGGGCCAAGCTGGGACTGGTCTTCCTTATGCTGTATCTAACGAACCAGGTGGTCGGCCCGAATCCATCCTCGCCACTTCTGATAACCATTTTCATGATCTTTCTCCGACTGCTTCTGGCCGCAGGGACTAGCCATCTGATCAGAATCGGGGAGAAGGCAGATACGAGCGAATCGTATCCACCCATTCGCTGGCTCCTTGTCCTCCTGCAGGCCAGTTCCATCCAGCGGGCCGGCCGATTCACCTACGCCATCTACTTGCTGAATCCTATAGTCATTCTCAACTTCTACTACTCATTCAGCGGCGGATTACAGGCCGATTTCTTCGTTATTGTAAGTTCAGACATCACATACGCATGTATGTGGACTCGAGAATGTTCCACTTGAATAACTTTGTAATCAATTGCAGTTCCTTCTGATTGTGGCCCACTCGGTGATTTGCTACGTTCTGGCCAACGCACTCACGCTGACATTTGAGAGCCCATTCAACAGGCTGTCCAGCCTGGTGCTGACCACCATGTTCTCCAAGGAAAAGAGTCTTTAAATAGATCTGGAAATGCTTTTCCAGCTGTTGCTCAAACATTTTATTAACTATGTACTTCAATTAAACAAATGGTTAACTGTTTTTTCCTTCGGAAAATATGAGCACCGTTGCACTCGACATTAAGGCAACATACATACATACATATGTAGCCAAATTGATGTTTGCATATTGTAATATAATACGTCGATTATGGTGCAGCCGACTTCCAGCAAACTTGGGTCGACTTGGCAATGTGTTTTATGAGTCTCAAATTTAGAGTCTCAGGCCGGTGCACTCGCAACGGCGTCTAGAAACGGGGGCCTCGGAATAACTTGTTGTTGTTTTTTCTTTCTTTCTCTTCTCATATTTGTTCTCAAACTTTATTTGGTTTTCCGCCGATTGTTGATCGATCTTTGACCGATTATTTGAAAAATATTTTCTGTGTTTGTCTATTCAATTTCAAATAATCCTATACAAATTCAATAAATTTATAAAAAGGTCCGCAGCTAGGGCCGCGACTCTACATTTATACCCCGGACTCTGTCAGCATGGCTTCCCTTCGCCACAGGGCGTACACTAAACCAGGCCAGGTAGAGTGTGTAGGCGCGTGGAGAGCGTGGAGGTCGTTGTGTAGCCACTGCAGTTTCATTGTTTTCCTCTGACTATAATAATAATCTGAAATTTGCAATGATTCTGTTTTTTTGGCTTTTTTTTTAAATTTCAAAAGTGTGGATGCCAGATTTGCGTCGTTTGTGGGGGCGGAAGCGGGCGTAGCAATTATGAAACAAACTTGATTCAGTGTGGTATCACAGGAGCCTACACTCAGGACTTGGTTGCTTGAGCACTTATTGTCTCTGAGAACTAGGAGTTAAACAAGACGGAGAGACGGACGGACAGTTGGACTTGGCTCTATCGTGTCGTCTATTGTTGCTGGTCAACAATATATGTACATATGTATATGTATGTATACTTCAAAAAATCGAATATACCCCTATACTCTGTTTGAGTGTCGGGTATAAAAACCAATAGCTCTATATATATTTCTAAATGGATACCGACAAAACAGCTCCACATTTCAAAAATGGGAGTTTTTTTGCTGCCAACATTGGGCATCATTGGCGCATTGGCGCATTGCATTGGCGCAAACTTGGGCTGTTGTGTACCAATCAGCTACTTCCATAATGCAAGTTATACGTACATATGTTCTAGGAAGTGTATGTATTTGTTTCCTTTTTTTCAGCAATAATTTGAACGTACAAATTGTACTCCAGGTTTTGTATCTGCAATATTTTGTTGTTGTTTTAGCGGTGTATTTCCTGAATTATCGCTTTATGCGTTCGCCATGCTATGCCTATCCTAGTTAAAACGAAGGGGGAACGTTGTGCGTTGCTGCCGAGACCGCAACTCTACATTTATACCCGATACTTAGTCAGTATGGCTCTCCTCCGGCAGACGTCGCTAACACTGAACGACAAAGAGTGCGTGCGAGAAAGACAAAAAATCAGTCTGAACGTTTCGTCGGCCGCTGCGTAGCCAGTACAAATTGATTTGTTCCTTTTGGCTATAAAAATGATCCGAACTGATCCAGATTCAGCAACCGAATAGATATGGTCATTGTCTATGATTGTGCGTTGTTAGGTTTCTCGAATCGGCAATATTGTGGATACAACAGATTTTCGTCTTTTGTGGGGGCGGAAGGGGGTGGGGCAAAGTTTTGAAATACTCTTGTAACGGTGACATCACAGAAGTCTGGATATAAAATATCGTTGCTCTAGCTATTATAATCATTGAGCACTAGGCGCTGATATGGACGGACAGACGGACGGACAGACGGACGGACAGACAGACAGGGCTCAATCAACTCGGCTATTGATGTTGATCAAGAATATATATACTTTATGGGGTCGGAAACGATTCCTTCTGGACGTTACACACGTCCAGTCTCCGCACAAATCCAATATGCCCCTATACTCTTTTTAAGTATCGGGTATAAAACGAGTTCGGTTTGGCCGGCGCTAACGTCATCGCTCACTTCTGGGACTGCAGGGCTTCTTATTCATACTCACACACTCATAACAAACGCCAGAGCCGAAGACATAAGATCCAATCCAGCAAATTCGTTTGGAACATAATCGTTGTATGAGCTGACACATCTATAGTATAGATGTACATATACTTATGTACGGCATGGTTAGTGATCATGTGCAAAGACAGTGGAGCGTACTAATTTTACACCTTTGCAGGAATTATTTTTAGAACATTTTTTTTATTGGTCTACAAAAGCGATTTGACACAGGGCGCACAATCTTTTAACTTATTAAGGTATATACATACTTTGATTTTCAACGTTGCAGGTTGTTGCACACTAATCTACAAATTTCACAAAGACTCAAAGACTCACCTTAATGAAAATGAAAACAGTCACGCCGAATCTAGTCGGATCCCAACTGTTGCAGTTGCACTCCATGAAAGTCCACAAGTCAAAGACTGTATTTGTAATACCGGGTAATCAAGGAGTATAGGGGTATATTAAATTCGTGTGGATTCCAGATGGAAGCGTTTCCAACCCCATAATGTATATGTATATAGTTTTGTTATGCATCAACAGACGAGCCGATATAGGCAAGACTGTCCGGCCGGCTTGTTTTCGCCTGGTTCTTAGAGACTATAAGAACAACAGCAACAAACCTTTTGTCCAAAGCTGTTTCAAAGTTTTACAGAATCATATAGAACGAGAAAATGTTTGTACTAGAATGCCAAAATGCGATCCACTTCTCTCCCTCTTCCAGTGGCGCTCCTGGCGAGGCCCCCGGTACGCGATTAGTTTTCCCATGTGGCCCATATGGGTTTTCCGAAATAAAATAAATGCACACACCGGAGCCGGTTTATTTTTCATTCCGGTTCAAAGAGTCATCCGATTGCGATTTGCATTTGTGGCGAACCGGTGGATCAGAAAACAAAGCCTCATATTTCGAACGTCTCTAATACCAGGATGCACACATTTAAGAGAACATAAGGTACATAAGGTACTCAAATACTGCAAACGGCAGAAACAAATGCATAAATGCCATGGCAATTGGTGTACTTTAAAGGAATATTTCGTTTATTTATCGAATACATTGAAATGCATACACGAGTTGGTTTCCTCAAATGGTTTTTTGTTTTGTTTTTTGTCGTTTTTTTTTATCTTTATATTACTTTGTATTTGTTTAAATAAATAAGATACATACGTTTAATCATAATAGCAGTATTTATCGTGCAAATTTGATAAGCATAATAATGGTTTACGTTTGCTCGTTCGTCTCTTGCAAGTTTTTGTTTGTCTCTTTACGAAATAAGTTTAAATATATGAAAAAAAATATATATATTTGTTTCTTTCTTTTCTTTTTCTTTATCATTCTTTTTGTTTGTGTTATTTTCCGTTTTTTGTTTTGTTTTAATTAGCTGCTCTTTCCTATGCTTGGATTTACTTTTTCTTTAAAGTAAAAAACGATCTGCGCTTTGGTTCGTCCTTTTGAGAGGTGGCTGGCAGAGTCTGGGATCTGCTGGCCGCCACAGCTGCCGAATCGCTCTGGGCTTTCAGGGAGGTCACCCACTGGGACATCTCGCTATCGTCGTGGGCCTGCAGTAAGAACTCAGCTCCGCTGGCGAGCCTGCAGTCGAGAGGGAGAGAGAGAAGGCAAAGAGAGAAGGGCAAAGCCAAGGAATCAGCATCGTACGATCAGTGGGTGGATCGATTCGGTAATGGCTACTTACTTGACACGCAGTACATGCTTCTTCTTGGTGTAATCACTGGCAATTTCGACGGCAGCTCCCTGCAGATCATAGCTAGGCTCGCCGCGGAAGGTCAATTCGGGGTTACTCTTGCAACCCTTCTGATCCTTGAAGAACGAAATTCGTCCGCTCCGGGCAGCCATGTAAACCTTGAGACGCAATTTTAAGATTGTAAATTGTAAACGCACTGCAAGGGGGAATGGCAAGAGTTGATATCACTCACCTTGTCCCAGGATCGGTTGGAGGCCTTCTTGGTGGTCGACTCCCACTCATGCTTTCGTGTCACATAGCCCTCCTGGCCCTCGCCAGCAGCTGGTGTGGCGCCTCGTTCTGGGGAGCAGAGAATAAAAGCCTTCAGTTAGTCAAAGTTGAGCGCAATTATTGGTAAAGGTTGAACACACAAACATACGAGTATGCATACGCAATGAGAATGGAGTCAAAAGATTCAATATTCAAGCTACTCGGAAAATATACGCATAATAATACGCATGCTATGGCTCTTGAGATAATGTTTTTGTACCTGTTTGTATCTCGACAGCGCGCTCGATTTCAACGGCCGTATCTTTGGCGGCTTCATTTGGTTTTGTGTTAGTTGGTTGTGTTAATCCGTAGCGATATTTAATGCATATTTTTAATGTTTAGTAAGCATGAGTGAATGATATAGAACGTTTAGATATAAATTGTCTTTGGTTATCGAACAAACTTGATCTTGATCTTGATTTCAATCTATGTATGATGATAGGGTAGGCATTTTGTTATATTTTTTATTCTCAGATTATTGGATGCGGATCGAGACGGGGATTTATGGGATGCATGGGATACATGGGATACATGGGATACATGGGGAATAGAAGTAAAAACGGAGAAGGGTAAAACGTTTTCATACCTGCATCATCGTGAGAAATGCCAACATCGACATCATCCCGTCTCTCAGCCTCACGTTTGGCCTGCTCCGCTGCCTCAGAGGCGGCCTTAGCCTCCTGCTCCTCCTTGATCTTCTGTCGTTCAGCCTCCTCGGCCAACTCCTGGCGCCTCTTCATTTCCTTAAGCTCAAACTGTGGATACACATAATGATTTGATTAGATTGGGTTAGATTGATTCAGGCACGGGCTTTAACGGGGCATTAACCACTCACCGTTGTCAACCGCTCAAGTGCACTGAAGCGCTCTTCTTGGGCGGCGGCCGATTTCTCGAATGCCTCGTGCTTCTTGATCAGGTTCTCCACCTCGTCGATTGTGTGGCCGAGCTCTGAGGAGAGCAGGTACGGCTCCTGGGCAATGAGCCAAGCCTCGGCCACGGCAGCATCTCTGGCGAACTGGTACACCTCCAGTACTGGAAAATCA